GTTTTAGAGAGCAATCTACGTCTTTGCTGGGTAAAATCTTAACCTCTCAAAAGACTTCATAGACACCGTTCTTCTGTTGTCCTCACCGCTGGTATTCCGGGCTGGCATGAGTCGCGTAGGCAATAGTATTGAAAAGTGTAGCATCGTTAAGGTCGGGAAGTTTGAAATGCGAGATTTTCCGTGCAACTCGGGAGATGTCAAAATATCCTTCCCCAATTTTTGTGATACGTATTTCACAAGATGTTTTCCAACATTCAACACCTTGCAGCATCCGGCGGGAAAATAGCAGACTGTCCGACTTCATTCCCTTGCTCTTAGCAGAGGGATATCAGGAGCCATCTTTGTCAGGATTTGGACGCAAACAGAGCTAAGCACACAGCTTTCGGCGGTTGACGTAAGAGACGTGGTTGATAATGTTGCTTGTTCCCAGTATCCCCCAAAGTACAAAGCCGCCAACGAAGTCAAGTTCTGCTGCTACAGCCTTTATACATACATACGTACATATATATATATATATATATATATATATATATATATATATATGTATATATATGTTTGTGTGTATATATACACATGTATATTATAAATATGTAAATAAAAATATGTATATGCCTTCTGGTATATTTCTTTAATTCCAAAATGAGGAGTAGGATGAACACACAGGCGCACGGTGAGCTCAGATATGAATATACACGGATGCTGCAGGTGCCAGACCGCGACGGTGACGGCAGCAGATCGACAGCGTGCTGTATTGCTCCGGCTTTCCGCCCATCATTATATGCATTGGAGTCTGGACTGATGTGCGCATCACCGCAGACGGCTGTGTGTGTCCCATGTGTACTCTGCGTGTAGGTGATGGTACAAGGTTGGTGATGCAGCAAGTTTTTTCAGCCTCGCTACACCAGCGCCTCTTGTCCGCGGAGCGGTCGGAAGCTGAAGTGCAGAGTCAGCTGGCCACCGCCAAGGCGGCACTGGTGTCGGCCGAGGCGCGCATCTACCAGGCGGAGACGCAGACGGCCAGCGTGCGGGTCCAGATGTCCGGTCTGAAGACTTCACACGGCCAGAAGATCAGGTCGGTCCCCGTTACCGCCGGACCAGCCGGTCGGGTGCTTCGACGCCGCAGTGGGGAGCGGACAGACTGCTTGCTGTGGACAGCGGTGCACCGTGGCGTGGCATTCTCACATGTCATGGCACACTTGGTAACGATGCCCGTCACTGTGCCTAGAGTAAAGTGCCCTATGTTATTCTTTGAGGACTGCACAGGGCCTAATGGTAGTGGCGGCATGGCGTGCTGAGCTCTAGTGTGCAGTGCTGCGATGTCAGTTTGAAATGGCTAGTGATGTATTGCAATATTAATAAAGTTGCTCGTGGTGGTGTTAGTTTTGCGCTATTTTTGTACTAAACGAAATGCTTTCTGAGCAGAACGGACGATGTTAGAGACAGGCGTTAGAAGATGACGTGTTTGGCTCTTACCCCAGTGCCCGGTTTACGTATGGATATGGTTTACATCCGTTCGCGCATTCCCGGAACTCGTAATTTGGACCCTGCGAAGCGACTGCCCTCGCTCCGTACGACCGCACCTAGTGTTCTTGCGACGGACATACTGTAGTCAGCTCGGACATAGCGCCCGCTGCCGTGTTCAGTCTCAGAGCGTATCTGATAAGCAGGGCCGGCTCAGTATCGGCCTCTCGGCCTCTCCCGGCTGACTCCTCTGCGGTTGCCAGGACGGTGCGGTGCGTGGTGCAGGAGCTGCGCGGCTGCCTCAGTCTGCCGCAGCGCGCCCTGCAGGAGCGACTTTGCCAGACGCTGGCCGGCCTGCTGACGCTCCGGCAGACGCTGCAGGGGCAGCTCCGCGCCACCCAGGTCAGCGACGACACACCCGTGCCACCATCCCTGTCCCGCTCCGTCTGCAATGCGCCGCGTGTTGAGCCTGCTGCTCACTCCGTACACATGTGTTGGTAACTGGTATTACGTTGATGCAGATTGCGCAGAGTTTGAGCGCCTGTTGTTCATTGTCGTTTGATTACCGGGGCCGCGGCTACTCGGTCAAGCGGCCCAGCAGCGCCTCTCGCCCACCCCTCGCTCTCTGCCGTCCAGCGGCGTAGCTCTTCCGTCCCTCCTTGCCTCTTGTCCAGCAGCGCCTCTCGCTCACCCCTCGCTCCCAGCGCCCAGCGGTGCCTCTCGCCCGCCCCTCGCTCGCTCGCATCGCCCAGCGGCACTGAACACCTCGCCGCCCACCGCACACTCGCCCGACCCGCCACTCACACCAGACGCCCAGACCTCTGACGTCATCTCAGCGTCACACCGGCTGGGCCGCGACGTGTGACGTCATTCCTGGGCAGGTCAGCCAACCATGACGTGTGTCACCACTGTGTGACGCTGGCCAACCGTGACGCGTAACACCTCTCCATGTGCCGGCAGGTGGCCCGTGACGCGGCTGACGGGGAGCGGGAGGGCGTGCGGGCGCAGAGGGCGCTGCTGGAGCGGGCGCTGCTGGAGGTGAAGGCTGGCGCGCCGGACGAGCGCGTCTGGGTGGAGCGCAGCCAGGAAGCCGAGCGGGAGGTACGGCGTGCCCGACCAGCAGCCAGCGGCGGACGACGGCAGCCAGTGCTGTCGTCGGCTGACGCGCAGACGGCCCCACGTGTAGCTGCGAAGACGTGTTTGTCTTAGATGAGGCCCGTTTGGCACGTTGAAGCTATTTTGCGTTGCTCTCTGATAGGGAAATGCACTGACCTGCTGGCCCGTGCGCTTGCCGTTACGGTCGGTTGCAAGTAATGAAAAGTGTTTCGTGCACACGACATCTCACTCGCCTGGGCGATTTTCTATACCTACTTATCTGACTACTCTCCTGTAGGTAGTGTATGCTGACAAAAGCTTTCGTACATAATGTACATGATAATGGCATGCACGGCGGGTGGGCATCGGAGCTCCGTGGCGCACAGACCGCTGAGGTGCGACGCATCAAGTGGGCACCGAATTCTGCACAACTCAGACAGGGCGTTTGTCGTGTGGAGAGTGCTGTATGCATTTTGGTGGGGACGTCGCTGCTATTGATATCTCAGCTGCAGTTACCGTAACTGTTAATCTACTGCTGGATTTACTTTAGTCCGGTGGTTATGAAGCCTGACACAGCGGGATAAGGACTGGACTGAGCCTACGTCTTGTGCCAGGTGACGTCACTACGACTACGCGTGGAAAGGCTGACGTCAGAGTGCAATCACGTGCGCAGTCAATTGGCTGACGAGGAGCAGCGAGCCACGGACGCGGAGGGCACCATCTGTCGGCTGAAGAACCAACTGGAACTTTACTTGATGGACCAGCAGGTAGACCGCATTGGCTAATTTTGCTTTGTTCGTGTCCGTATTGTATTCACCGTCCTAAATTGAGACATGCACGATGGGCCACGCGGAACATTGCAACAGCTGGAAGCTTGTTGCTGTACATGTTGTGCAACTTTCTTTGTCCGTCATCGGCGTTGTCAGGGCTGAGATACTGTGAGATACGTGAGATACTGTTCAATATTCCCGATGTGTTCTGGACTGACGGTCGGCGGCTGTGTGTTCCAGCTGGAGCCGGGGACGGCTCGGGAGGCGGCGGCGGCGCCGTCCCCGCTGCCGCCGGCCGGTCCCGGTGGCGCCAGAGCCAGCCGCCTGCCGGTCCGGGTGGCCGACCGGCGGGCGCCGCCAGACACGGCGGCTGTCGCTGTCACCACCGTGGGCACCGCCGCCGACCCCGCCGCCAGCTCGGCTGCCAGCTCGGCCGCCCGCTCAGCCGCCAGCTCCGCCGCCCGCTCGGCCGCCAGCTCGGCCGCCCGCTCGGCCGCTAGCTCAGCCGCCAGCTCGGCCGCTGGCTCAGCGACCGACCCTCCCGCCTCTCCGGGCAGCCCGGAGTCGCAGAGTCTCCAGGTACTCGCCTCGGGGAGATGCATACCTTGTCAGCTTCACCGCAATGTCCGCAGGCATCCGGGCGATGTGGACTGATGTGTTGGTTCTCTGGTGCAGTGCTTTGGAGCGCTTGAGCCGCAACATTTGGATTTATAGCCTTACTCGGTGTTTGGTCTGCTGGTCGAGAATCAGACACATAGCGGTCGGCGTGTAAGGTAAAGCGCTAACCGTTTTAGCGCGCCTTTCCACCGTGTTGGTACTAATGTATCTTGCCATTAGCAGACTTATCGAAACGAACAGCAAGCAGTCGAACTCTTGAAACATTAAGCCCCAGTTGATCAGTCTGTTGGTGAGGAGGCTGACGCGGCGCCGGCTCGCCTCCAGGACGCCTGCGAGCAGCACGCGACGGCGCTGCGCGTGCTGATGGTGTCGCTGCAGGGCCGGCCTGAGCTGGCGGAGCTCGAGGCGCGCCTCAGCGCCGCCCTGGAGCGGCGTCGCCCGGCCGTCTCTCAGCTGCTGCTCGTCTCGGCTGACGTCATCCGCCTGTGTGACGTCAGCGCGCCATCGGCCGCCGAGCCGCCGGTCTCCGCTCAACCGGGTGAGGCGGCCGTCGTGTACTGCAGCGTGCTCGGCGATGTCTGGATGGCGGCCTTGCTGAAGTGCGCTTATGGTACGTGCTTCATGTCGGCTCATTTTGAAGGGTGTCTCATTCGCGCGGCCTATAGCTCTCTGGATATGCCAAATATCGTAGTGGGCGTACGAAGCGCACCCGTGTGTCTGCTTTTAGCCAGTTATTACATGGAAATGTGAACTGATCCCCGACCCCGCCCTGGACAGTCGGTGGGAACAGACCAGCTCATGTAGCTGCGTCGCGCGGGGGTGGGCTGCGCGCCACCGGTCGGTCCGCTCACCGAGCGTGCCCGGGCTGGGCGTGCTGACATGGCCGGCTGTGTGTGGGCAGAGCTGGCGCCGGCCGCGCCGCCCGACCCGGCCCGGCAGCGTCGGCTGCGTGTGGCGGAGGCGGCGGCCGCCTCGCTGGAGCAGCGGCTGCGGCAGAAGGAGCAGAGTCTGGCCGAGTACCGCCGGCTGCTGGGCCAGGCGCGCCAGCAGGCGGCCGAGCAGGCCGAGCAGCGCCGCCAGCAGCTGGCGCGCAGCAGCGAGCAGCTACGCCAGCAGATGACGCTGGTGGCCAGGTGAGCCAATATCACCGCGTGCTCCTCTGCAGCACACGGCAGCGGAGAACACTGTGCCAAGTCGAACCGTTGCAGTGGTCTGTTAGTGTCGTCGAGTCGTCCAGTGACGCATGGGCGGGGTCTGACGCTGCAGGGGTCACAGCCTGGGGCTGCGGCGCAGCGGCGATCCGACATCGCGGCCGCCGAGGCCCGGTCAGCAGAGTGTGACAGGCACACAGTCACGTGACGGATGTGACAGCCGGCGGTGCGGCCCCGTCTCCGCAGTCTGCAGGCCGAGAGCAGCGTCCGCGAGCCGCCGGCCAGCGGCGGTCAGCTGAGCGGCAGTCAGCTGAGCCGCCTGCACGAGTCCGGCGAGCTGCTGGCCGAGCAGGAGAGGGCCATCGGCGCCCTGATGGAGAGGCTCCGGCAGAGTCGCGAGGAGGAGGCCCGCTACAGGGAGCGGGTCACCAGGTGAGGAGGAGGTCCGCTACAGGGACCGGGTCACCAGGTGAGGAGGAGGCCCGCTACAGGGAGCGGGTCACCAGGTGAGGATGAGGCCCGCTACAGGGAACGGGTCACCAGGTGAGGAGGAGGCCCGCTGTAGGGAGTAAGTCACCAGGTGAGGAGGAGGCCCGCTGCAGGGAGTGGGTCACCAGATGAGGAGGCCCGCTACAGGGAACGGGTCACCAGGTGAGGAGGAAGCTCGCTACGGGGACCGGATCACCAGGTGATGAGGGGGCCTACTATAAGGAGCGTGTCACCAGGCCAATTGTTTGTGACTGTGACTCCTGTGACCATGCCAGTGACTGCGACCGTGACCATGCCGATGACTGCGACCGTGACCATGCCGGTGACTGCGACCGTGATCATGCCGATGACTGCGACCGTGACCACGCCGGTGACTGCGACCGTGACCATGCCGATGACTGCGACCGTGACCATGCCGGTGACTGCGACCGTGACCATGCCGATGACTGCGACCGTGACCACGCTGGTGACTGCGACCGTGACCACGCCGGTGACTGCGACCGTGACCATGTCGATGACTGCGACCGTGACCACGCTGGTGACTGCGACCGTGACCATGTCGATGACTGCGACCGTGACCACGCTGGTGACTGCGACCGTGACCATGTCGATGACTGCGACCGTGACCATGCCGATGACTGCGACCGTGACCACGTCGATGAATGCGACCGTGACCATGTCGATGACTGCGACCGTGACCACGCTGGTGACTGCGACCGTGACCATGTCGATGACTGCGACCGTGGCCATGTCGATGACTGCGACCGTGACCATGCCGATGACTGCGACCGTGACCATGCCGATGACTGCGACCGTGACCATGCCGGTGACTGCGACCGTGACCATGCCGGTGACTGCGACCGTGACCATGTCGATGACTGCGACCGTGACCATGTCGGTGACTGCGACCGTGATCATGCCGATGACTGCGACCGTGACCATGCCGATGACTGCGACCGTGACCATGCTGGTGACTGCGACCGTGACCATGCCGATGACTGCGACCGTGACCATGCCGATGACTGCGACCGTGACCATGCCGGTGACTGCGACCGTGTGGGCCTGCAGACTGGAGTCGGAGCGGCGCGACACGGCCGACGTGCTGCAGCGGACGGTGAGCTCGCTGACCGAGGAGCGCTCCCGGCTGCGGGACCAGCTGGCGCAGCAGCGCCGGCAGGCGGCCGCCGACGCCGACGCGCGCCTGCAGGCGCAGGCGGCCACCCAGGCCGGCCTCGTCGACCGCCTGCGGGAGATCATGCTGAAGAAGGAGCGCCAGCACCACACCCTGGCCAGGGTGCTCCGCGACATTAAGGTACGTAACGCCCCGTCCTGCCGCCCCGCTGGTGTGATGAGCTTCGCTCGGTGGCTTCTAAATCGTCAAGTGTGGCGGGCTGCTGAGGCCTGCGCACTTTGGCGTAAATGCAGACATCGCAGGCAACTAAAGCAGGGGTAGGGAGAAGTAATGGGACGGCATCAATTTGAGGATACACCTGTGGTGTTTGAGGCTATCTCATCGATTCCCTGGATATTTTCCCATGCATAATTTAGTTCACCATGCCATCGCATGTATGCAGTTTTACTGTATTTCATGCATATGTTATATTTCATTTGAATCCTTAGCTCAAGCTATGTACTATCTATCCACCCTTCTGTATATGGTGTTTTGGCTCCCTCTGTTACATCTATTTTTCTACTAGTTCTTCTATTTCCATTTTCGGGCCTCCTATTCGGTCGCCGTGTCCCGCACTCTGGGTGCACTGAGAGCTGCTGTCAGCCCTCTACAGCCATCCCTGAAGACGCTGCGAGGTGCCGACGCGGACCGCCGTTCGTCGCTGACTGGCGGGTGCGGGCTCACGTGTGCCGGATAGGCCGAGATCGTGCAGACGGTGGAGGCGGCGGCGCTGCAGTGGGAGGAGGAGTGCAAGCAGGAGCCGGCCGGCGAGCAGCCACCGACGGCGCGCAGCCGGACGGGCACCGACCGCCTGCACAGCCAGCTGGCCACCGCCGAACGAGAGCTGGATACCGTCAAAAGTGAGCGTCGGGGCCGCAGTGTGGGAGTGATAACAGTAATCTCCGGAGCCAATCTCCGGGTCTCCCCGCCCTGTCGGGAGCGTGCCTTGTCGGCCGGCACCTGTTGGGGGCGTGCCGTGTCGGCCTTCGCCTGTTGGGAGCGTGCCGTGTCGACCGGCGCCTGTTGGGGGCGTGCCGTGTCGGCCGGCGCCTGTTGGGAGCGTGCCGTGTCGACCGGCGCCTGTTGGGAGCGTGCCGTGTCGGCCGGCGCCTGTTGGGAGCGTGCCGTGTCGGCCGACGCTTTTGGCCTGTTGTCAGTGCTGACCGGGCTGCTGCCTGCTCGCAGATGAGCTCAACGACCGCACGCTGCAGTGTCACCGGCTGCAGGCCGACCTGCACGAGGCCGACCGGCGGCGGCGCGAAGAGGTGCAGCGATTGCAGCGCCAGCTGGAGGCGGCGCGCCAGAAACTGCGCGCCGCCGAGCAGAGCCAGACAGCGCGCAGCCGGCCGCCGAGCGACCCGCACAAGGTGAGTACAAGCGGCCGTCCAGTAAGGCAGTAACCACACGAGGAGATTACGGCCGGCCTCACAGCACCACTACCGGCGCGGAGCACCGCGGAAACCACGGGCACAGTGCTGCTGCCGGCCGTCTGTGTGTCGATTTCCGGGTGATCACCCAGCCAGCCATCGGGAGCCGTTGGCCCGCTGATCCACTGACACGTGCTGACCCAGCGACGCTCCGGCGGCCGGCAGATCCAGGAGGAGCTGGCCAAGTGGGACGAGCGGAAGCGGTGGCAGCGCACGACGGAACGGCTGCGCGCGCGGCTGCGGGAGAAGGAGGCCGAGTGTGAGCGTCAGCAGGCGCTAGCCGCCGGCCTGCGCGACACCATCCACCGGCTGGAGCGCGAGAAGACCGGCTACGAGGCCAAGATACGCACACTCAGCGGTGAGTGGGTCGCCCGGTCACTCCTTCAAAGGGAGGCGAGGGGAGAGCAGGAAGGCGTCGCCAGTCGGTGTCGGTGTCAGCTGTGTTTGGTGCGGTGTCAGTCTGTGTCGGTGTCAGCGGTGTCTGGTGCAGTATTAGCGGTATCTGGTGGGGCGTCAGTGGTATCTGACGTGGTGTCAGTGGTATCCTCTGTGGTGTTAGTGGTGGCTTGTGTGGTGTCAGCGGTGCCTGGTGTGGTGTCAACGGCGTCTGGTGTGTCGTCAGCGGTGTCTGGTATGGTGTCATTGATGTCTGGTGTGGTGTCGGCGGTGTCTGATGCAGTGCCAGCAGTGTCTGGTGTGGCGTCAGCGGTGTCTTGTGTGGGGTCAGCGGTGTCTGGTGTTGTGTGATTGGTGACTAGTGTGGTGTCGTAGGTGTCTGGTGTGATGTCATTGGTGTCTGGTGTGGTATCGGCGGTGTCTGATGCAGTGCCAGCAGTGTCTGGTGTGGCGTCAGCGGTGTCTTGTGTGGGGTCAGCGGTGTCTGTTATGGTGTCAGCGGTGTCGGGTGTGGTGTCAGTGGCGTCTGGTGTGGTGTCGTAGGTGTCTGGTGTGGCGTCAGCGGTGTCTGGTGCGGCGTCAGCGGTGTCTGGTGTCGTGTCAGTAGTGACCAGTGTGGTGTCGTAGGTGTCTGGTGTGGCGTCAGCGGTGTCTGGTGTTGTGTCAGTGGTGACTAGTGTGGTGTCGTAGGTGTCTGGTGTGGTGTCATTGGTGTCTGGTGTGGTGTCGGCGGTGTCTGGTGCAGTGCCAGCAGTGTCTGGTGTGGCGTCAGCGGTGTCTTGTGTGGGGTCAGCGGTGTCTGTTGTGGTGTCAGCGATGTCGGGTTTGGTGTCAGTGGCGTCCGGTGTGGTGTCGGCGGTGTGTGGTGTGGCGTCAGCGGTGTCTGGTGTGGCGTCAGTGGTGTCTGGTGCGGTGTCAGCGGCGTCTGGTGTCGTTTGTTGGTCTGACAGTCCGGGCCGATCGGCCTGGATCTGGACTGACCGCAGCCGTGCCGGGCCGGGTGGCCTGCTGTCTCGGGTGCGCTCCTGCGTCGGATCGCGTCTGACGGCCCAGCCGTGCCGGACCGCAGGCCTGATGTCAGAGGAGCGGTTCCACGCGCTGGAGCGGGAGAACGTGACGCTGAAGGAGCAGCTGAGTCAGCTGCGCGGCTCGGAGTCGGTGGAGCGCGGCGCTCAGCTGGAGCAGCTGCGTCAGCAGGTTCACACGCTCACCAGCCGGCTGGCCGCCCAGCGCGCCGCCGCCAAACAGGGCAAGGTAACGGCCGGCAGACGTCCGCCCTCTTCTGCGGTCATGCTCACGGCGGCGGGCTGCAGGCTGGGTGTCTCGAGGGCTGTCTCGGCGCGTTTGTGGCTTGTTAGAGCTGTGCGGTGGAGAATGTGGGTGAACGCTGGAGTGATGCCGCAGCTTGCCTACAAGTGGGCATAGGTTTTGAATCCTACGGCGCAGAATACTCCGCCGTATCGAGGCACTCGATCACGTGCTCGGGGCCGACACCAGGCACAGTTCAAGGCGAGGGTGTTCCACGGTCGGGGAGCGATAGCCCAAGATCCAGGTGTACGGTGGTGGAGACCAACGACACGAGACGTGGCCCCCGGGGTTCCGTTGGTACGGTGACGTTAGACTTTTGGACACGACACACTGGAGTTGGCGAAGCCTGGCCTTCACCAGACCGCGCCGCGCCCTTCTGCTGTATTGTCGTAGACGTGGGCGTCTTACTGGCCGCTTGGATGCGTGGCCCCCGCCGTACCAGACGCTACGTACTTCGAGCAATATCGGGTTATCAGAAAGAGAAACGAAATGACTGGATGGCATGCTCACTTCACAGAAAGAGAAGTGAACAAAAGTGCTACTTTTCAGGATGCATGCTGGGACCCTTTCCGTCAGCCCTGAAATATGCATTGCCTTTGAATAAGCGCGTTACGGTCCGCATGGTGTGAACCGCCACCGTGAAGAGGCCGTGCGGGCGTTAGGTCAGCTAGGTTGACGGCGTCGGTCAGCTGACCCGTCCCGTTGTCGGAAGCAAGAAGCTTTGCGTCCCACTGGCCAGCAACCGATGGCATACCGCTTCTCCTAACCATGGTAGGGTTGTCTATCCGGAGACGGGCCACCGAACGCCTGTCCGGGTTTTGACGCGGTGAAATACAGCCAGCGGAGGGGAGGGGCGCAGTGCTGCCCCCTGGCGTCGCGTGACTATTGCTGTCGTGATGTGGGAGGGGGGGGGGGGTGATTTAGTGCCGGCCGCGCTGCACTCTCGTGGCGCGGCACGAACCGCACGCCACGCTCACGGCGACCCGTATTGGGTGTCCGCGCCTTGTCCGAGGTGCCGTCTCGCTCCTGCTGACGCCCCTGCGCTGACACCCCTGCGCTGACGCCGGCCGGCGCTGGGTCCGTAGAACGCCGCCTCAAACGTGGCCCGCTTCGAGGCGGAGCTGGCGCAGCTGCGCGCCAAGGCACAGCTGCTGGAGGAGCAGAACACACAGCTGACGGCCGAGATCAGCGAACTACGGTACTGATCGCCTTCCATGGCTCCACTTGTAGATATGGTTGTTCGTTTACTTTGTGTGTATGCGCGTATGTGTCCACGCGTGGAAGTGGCATAATTATATGTGTGTCGTTCGCACTCTGAATTATAAAGCCTTTTGTATGGTCATGCAATATTTTGGGCGTTCTAGGAAGTTTATGAGTTATAGGACCAGAACCCTAAGTCTTAACCAAGGACAGATATCTTAACAAATGCCCCCAGACAACGATGGGACGAATGCTTCCATTGTGAGCCCGTTGAGAGGTGAAGACCCACCTACTGCTGCTGTGTATATGTAGCTCCAACACAGGCTTGACGGGTCTATGGTATTTACGTTAGATAGTTTACAGGATGGGCTCAAGCTGGGAAGAAAACCTGCAGTCTCAAATGGTCAACACTAAAGAATGTGTAAAATGAATCTCGAGGATTTAAAAATGGCTTGTGGCTTGTTCGTAACTATTTGGCTTGTTAGTGCTTTCTTTGAGTGCTTAGCTTGGGATGGTCCAGTAAATACTAATCATTCATGGCAGTTGCACAAAGCAATATAAACTTATAAAACACATGCATCTGTTATATATACATACATATATATATATATATATATATATATATATATATATATATATATATATATATATACATGCATAAGACATTTCGTGTATCTGCGTATCGTCGCTGTGAGCGCCGCTCACAACCGTTATAACGAGCCGCCAACCGCTCCCCGTGTATGTCCGCCGCCCGCCGCTCGCCGCCTGCCGCTCGTCCCCATCCGCGTGGTGTGTGCGTGCGTGCGTGCGTGCGTGCGTGCGTGCGTGCGTGCGTGCGTGCGTGCGTGCGTGCGTGCGTGCGTGCGTGCGTGCGTGCGTGCGTGCGTGCGTGCGTGTGTGTGTGTGTGTGTGTGTGTGTGTGTGTGTGTGTGTGTGTGTGTGTGTGTGTGTGTGTGTGTGTGTGTGTGTGTGTGCGTGTGCGTGTGTGCGCGCGTTTGCGTGTGCGTGTGTGTGGATGCCCTGCTTGCGCCGGTGACGGGCCCTGATCACCACTGCAGCCGGGCTGCAGAGAGGACCGAGGCTGGCGGCGGCGAGCCGGCGGCCGGCACCGGCGAGGCCGAGGCCGAGGCCGGGCCGCCGCCCGCCGCCGACCACGGCACCGTCTCCATCCTGCGCCGGCTGGTGGAGCGGCTGCGCGCCGACAACCTACGCCTGCGCCGCGAGCTGCTGCGTCACACCGTCACCAGCACCACCGAGCAGCAGGTGAGCCGGCAGTTGGTGCGTCACACCGTCACCAGCACCAGCGAGCAGCAGGTGAGTCGGTGGCTGGCGACTCACCTGCCAGCCGGGCGCGGCTGGGGGCTGGTGCTATGCTGCTGTAGATCGTCGCTGGCTGGCCCGGCGACGTCCGGTGCTGACGTCCTCCCGCACAGTGACTGTTTTGTGGCGGATTGCGGGCTTTTGTCTGCGCTGACCGATGGACGTTGAGCGCTCGGTATATACCGCATGCCAGGTGCACAGGCTGTTTTGCATGCGTGCACGCGGGTGTGCGCACTGGCCATCCATACGTGCATGTCAGCGCATGGATGCATATTGTGGTGTGGGTTCGAAGCTCGTCCGTACCATTTCTTTGTTTATTTTGTTGCAGAGCAAATGGAACATAACCACTGAAAATTACATAGGTCAACAAACTCGCAAACCCGCACCCCACCACATTTTACCGAACTCAACCTGCGACCAGACGCCCTTCACTTTCCAGCTGTTGAGAACGAATGGCTTTCACGCGCCCCGTCACTCGCCCTTCAAACGCGACAGCGATTGACAGACAAAATGCATGCACTCACTCTGCGTCCAGTGAACCGTGGTGCGCCTCCCGTTGTTGACGGCTCATACCAGGCGAACGGCCCGGACGGTAGGCCGTAACACACAGCCCGGAGCGGCACGGGACCCCAGACCGCTACCGTTGGCGGGCTGCCAGCCATCCGTGTTGCCCTCTGTCCGACAGGGCCGGCCTCAGGGCGCCGACCCGGCGGGCTGGGACGCGGCAGGGGTGGCCGGCCGGTCGATGAGGCCCGGGTCCCGGAAGGTGGCCGGCGTCGCCACCGACCGCACGCTGCTGCCCCTTTGGCGGCTGGTGGGCCGGGGCGGCGAGGGCGCCGCCGGCGCCGGCGGGGGCGGGGGCGGAGGCGCCGCTGGCGCCGGTGCCGGCGCGTTCCGCACACCCAGCGCCTGACGCCAGCCCCGCCGACATCATGTACGGCCGCGTCGCACTGCCGTCGTTGTGCTCCAGGTCAACCATGACGCAGTAGAACAGCGCGTCGACGCCCATATCGAACAGCGCGAATGTGGTGCCCGCCACAACGTAGGCAAAGGCGGCGCTGAAGAGGGACGGCAACAGCCAGGGCACGGGATCGGCTTCCACGGCGGCCATCAGCAGGTGGCAGAGCAGCACGCTGCCGGCTACGACCAGCAGCCGGCCCAGCAGCAGCACGAACGCCGTTATCGAGTCGGCCACGGCCACGCGCGCCACGTTGCGCATAACCACCTGCAGACCACGCTTGCCGCCGACGCACAGGCCGAACGCTCTCCAGAGCCGTGACGATGTAGGCGCGCCGGTTGATGAACTGCAGGCAGTTCTCGAGACACCAAGCAGCAGCAGGCGCAGCAGCAAACGGCGGTGCGCGCTGCGCAGCCGCCGTACTTCTCCAGCCGCTTTTTGGCGGCCATCAGCAGGCAGCGCGCCAGCCGACAGATCGTGATTAGCAGCGAGCCGAACGCCGCTGTGCCGCCGTGGTAGGTGAGCGTGTGCACGTAAGCCAGTGCGGGCACCGTCAGGCGCAACCGCTTGCTGCTGCTGAAGTACCAGGTGCAGAAGGCCATCGCCACGGCGATCTGGTTGATGGCCGTCACGAAGCCGAAGGCCCACACCAGCGCGAAGATGTTGTATGCGTAGATGAACAGCGGCTGGTTGCTGCGGCAGGCGGCGTCCGGACATTTGTCGCCGCACTGCGCCGCGAAGTCCTGCTGATAGCAGATTTCGCCCTCTTGGTAGTCAGCCCCGCAGCCATAACATTCGCCCTGCACGTGCCACTGGTGGCTACTACCGAACAGGAACAGGCAGACGAACACGAACATCAGACAGACAGACAGCTGGAGGATAAAGCTGAACACGGGCACGGTCAAGATGGGGAGCATGTCTCCGATGGCCGTGCTGCACTGCTTCAGGAGCGCCACCGCCAGCTTGATACGCTTTCTCAGCGCGATCAGCAGCACCAGCATGAGGACGGAGAGCACGGCGCAGATGATGAGCAGCACCAGCCAGAAGGTAGGGCACCCGCGTGTACTCGGCTGGGTCGGCGCTCATGCCCACATCGCCGAAGGTGAGTTTGCCGCCAGGGCTCAGCCGACAGCGCCTGGTAGCGGACGCCGCAGACGGCCGTCAGCGCCAGCAGACCACCGATGATGCCGAGCAGGCTCAGCCAGATGGCGGGCACCACGAACCAACGCAGCAGCAGCACGAACAGCAGCGACAGCACCAGCGGCAGCACCAGGCTCCAGCACGTCAGGCCAGCCATGTGCTTGACGACGAAGCGCATCTGGCGCACGGCCGCCGCCGCCGCCTGCCGGCAGACGCGCGCGGCCGGTCGTCAGCGCTCGACGCCGTCGCTGCCGCGGACGCCGGGGTCCGACCTGCAGTGTAGCACGCTTGTATCCGAATCGCCCTCTCACGTATGAAACGACAGCAGTTATTCGCACGCGTTTCGCGGGAGGTGGCTGCGGGTTCGGTGCTGGCGTATACCACAGCGTACGGTGAAGTGAGGGGTTCTAGAAAGATTTCATGCGATTACTGAAATTTTGTATATCACTGAGCTCAACAATGCAAAGAAAAAAGGGTGCGTGCATTTAAGCAACTTTTAAGGAGAGAGCCTTCTTGATTTTCTGCAGTATCATGCCATTGGTTGGTGGTACAGACTCGAATTACATAACACTGAATTTGTCACATCGAAATGAACCACTCTACATGCTGTTTTACTGACCTTGGCATATGAACTTGACATAAAATCAGGATTTTTAAAACAAATTGTTATATTTGCAATAACAAACGTGACTAACGCGTAATAAAAAGCACAAATGCGATGGACGTCATAAGACAAAGCAGAAGTTCACCAACGTATGCAATGAAAAAGCGCACGTGCAGACATGCGCTTTATTTTGATGGTAAAGAGTGTATTTCAGCGCAGGTGAGGCCAATCGTAAACACATACAAAGCTCGTAGTTCGAAGCGGCAACTAACGCTGGTGATGATTTTGCCGTAGGTCGGCTGGAATCTGATGATCGATAGCAACGGGCTTAAACGTGGGGAGAGCAAACCCAGGCGCTTTGACCCGACTTTAAAGTGGACGTTGTTTGCAATGCCTTTTGGAGTATCGTGGACAGTGTCCCCCCCACCTGCCCTGAAGAGATCAGCCTGTGTGTAGAAGCTCATATCGCATTTCCTCCAAAAGTATTCATAGATTGCATCACGAAGCGGGCAATCTCAGCGTTCAACACATACTGTATTACGCTCGACGTACTGGAAATAGACCGCAAGTCCGCACTTTTCTCATAAATGCATTATCGGCCCAAAAATTCGCAAAAGCAGCGGGTACCGACATCATGTATCGAAAGATCAGCTGACCTCTGCAACAGACGTCATGGGCGCACTATCCATGTGTGCATAACATCAGCCCGCTAGATCCTGCACGCTAATGCTGTCCTGCCTTTGCAGCGCAAACCAGAAGCCGTGCTTGTGCTCTGGCATCGAGGGCAACGGGGTTTCCACGATTTTGTCGATCTTCTATTTGTTCAGACAATGTGGTTTGGTGCGATCTTCTTAGTCTTCTTTTGGGTGAAATCAGGTTCTTGGGAAACTGAAAATCTTCTTTGGGTGGTCTGATGATCGAAAGTTATGAGTACAGTGGCTAAAATTCACGACTTATTTTGCGCCGGACAGTTGTCTGTCGTTTGGTTATTTGGAAAAGATCCCTTTCGACCAGAAATGATTATTTCAGGGCTATGAGATGAAGAAAAATGGTTTACGGTAGGGCAGGCTTGCGTGCGCCTGGAGGGGGGGGGGGGGGGGGGGCAATCACTGAGCTTTAACCCGATGTGCGCTTGGTACTCGGTCGGGGCCTGGTTCTCCTTCCCATGGGGCCTCTGCTCACTCGTGGGTGACGCATGCAGACGGACAAGCGGACACAAGGGGACGCCCCGGACAAACGGAGTGTCGCGGGGATACAGGATGAAGCAAGACAGAGGGTGAAAGGGTTGGATGTGTCTGTCAGGATCGTCGCTTTCTTTTTGTATCGATGTGCGAGGAAGCGTCAGTACGTCGCGGCAATGTCTTCTCCATCTGCTGTTGTCTTATGCCACAGGACTGCTAGTAGCTTCCTCGACCTTTTTACTTTTCCTTTCTTCTGAACGGTAGCAAATGTCTCGTTAGGGGGGGGGGCGGGGGGGGGGGAGGAAGACCGTTTTGTGGAGGAAGGATAGGAATCAACGTTATCTTCATTGGGTCGGCGCTGCAAACGTGTTCGTAGTCATCACTTTCGCGGTCCGCCCTGCTGTGGTGTTGAGCTCTAGTCCCGGCCAAATATAATCTGCTGTCCTGGCACTGGTCGCACCCGTCGACTTACAAGAAGCCAGCTCTTTCTGGGGCCCGATGCGCTGATTGCCCGTGGTGCAATTGGCGAGTGCAGCTCTCACGCTCCTCGTCGCCAAGTTTAGTAAAGCTAATGTTCATCTGTTTTAACTCCCTTTGATACCACTGGAAACCTATTTGCCCATGCTTCTCAGTGAAGTATTTATGCATGCCAGTGGTTGTTATAGTGGATGGTAGATACATCCTCTGTCGATCTTGGTCTTTGGCGTTCCACTTCTTCTTCCGTCCTCCCTTCCAGCATTGGCGAGGGCGTCCCGGAAGGCCGGGTTGCTGTGAATCTTCAGGCCCACTGCTGCCAAAGAGAACCGCTTAAGAGTACTAGCGGTGGGCTAAGGCCGGACGATTGCGAAGTCTTCGGCAGGGCCGGGGGCGCTGAATCCAGGTGGTGGCTGAGCAGCAAGCTGGTCTTCTCGAGGACCCCAATCCTCCCATAACAGGGCCTTTCTAATGTTTGTGGCGAAGGGAGTAGAACATCAGGAACACTCTCTTCGGAGTGTTCCAGGAGTTCTACCCCATCCCTTCAACCGGCGTCGAAAGTAGAACACCTCCAAATTTAAAGCGCTAATCATCGGCAGGACCAGCAGCACTGGAGCAGAGCGGCAGCCTGCCGCAGCGGGGCGCCGGTAGGACCACACGGCGCCAGGGAAACGGAAGGCTGTGGATGGACGATGGCGAGCTCTCCGGCAGTGCCAGACTGCGTCAACGAAGCGGGAGGCTGTGACTGGACAACAGCGAGCTCTCTGCCAGGGCCAGCAGAGTCGAATGTTTTGTCTGGTGTTACTGGTGGATGGAAGAGGCCGCAAGAACATTATGTGTAAGGAAATATGATAGGACGATTGGCACAGAAGCGAGGAGTCAAAGTGAAAAAGACTTTTAAAGGCTGTTTAAAAGACATTTTTATCGTTACCGTCAAGGACCGTTAAAGCTGGACTGGCTTGGTAAGCGGAATATAACGTAGACAAAAGTATGTGACTGAAACGTAGAGTAGCGCAGACAAAATTGGCGTTGTTTCGATGAGACGACTGGGAAGAAATCGACATAACATGGCAACTATCGTAAACACAGCCGAAACGTGCTTGTAAAAATAACGCTTTATAGCTTAACGATGCAATTTCGTCCTTCCCGTGTGAAGTCGCCGATATCCTATCGTGACGAACGGGGCGAAACAACCAATGTCTCTTATGAATCCAGTCTTTCGTTGCGATTCGGAGTCAGACGTCCAGCGAATTGAGGTATTCAGTCCCATTTCAAGGTCGAAGATCGGTCCCTTGCACAGGAACACCAGCCAAAATGATCTGTTTGAATCGTAGAGAAGAGGGAAGGTCACTATGGTCGCCAGTACTTGAAGCATACTATTTATTTAACGGATACCATGGAAGCGGCTGCCACGCAGCGAGAACTGTAGGCGATCGTTCCTCTCCAGATTTGCCCTTGGTGTGCCGCATATGCGCGGTGGCCCTAGCCGCAAGCGGCAATACTTCACATTTAAACTGCGTGGCCAGCACGCAGTGGCTTGCACCTCGACTTTCGTACGCCCTTAATACGCGGGCGTGCAATTGACCACGCATGATTTTGGAATTGGCTTGATTCAGTCCGTTGACGTCCTATCCAAACTTCAATAATCAGGCCACCAAAACAGCCGCCCCAAGTCCAGCAAACCAATAAATTGCGCCAAGCCCTCACGGCGCAAAAGTGGATACGGATAGCAGACAAAAGCGGATATGTTTACTTTAGTGGTTTTGGCTGCAGTGGCACGTGCGCGCCATGGGCGTACAAAGTTAGCGTATGACTGAATCGAAATTCTTACCAAATCAAAGCGATCTGCGTCTCGGGAGCGAGCTACTCGTATGCTGCTTTGGAAGTGAACAATCCGTGACTAAAGCATATATCATCGAAAGACACACTTCGAAATAAATGCAAGGCTTTCCTGGTTCAGACTTCTCCACCCTACGTGCGCGATGTTGTTCCCACGATTCGGCCAGATGCACCTCCTTTTTGGAGAGTCGGGGGAAAACGCAAGTGGCATTACCGACATGTAGTCTATCGAAATAGTGCAAGTGCAGACACGCGGTTTTTAGTAACTGAATCGACGGAGATAAAGAACTCGGGTTTTTCGCCGTAACTCACAGCACGTGCGCTTCTTTTACGTTGCAGATCGGATTTGTTCCGCACTAGCGCCTATTTTTTTTAAATCACATTTTGGGGTGATGGAGATCGGTATTGCGAACCTGATAGCCTAGAACTCAAAAATGGCAAACATTGTACTGGTGTTTCATTTCCTTTGCACGGCAGAGCTGAGAAGTGCACAGCTGACCTCGCGATTCAATGGAAATGTTTACATAAAATATAATTATTGTTGCCCTGTTCGGGTCGGGCCGGGTCGTTGTCTGGCTGAATTTTAAAACTGTAAGGTCAAAGGAGAAGTGTCGGAAGCCACTTTCTGGTGGTTCAAAATGCATACATTCCTGTGTTCTACGTGGAAGTGCAAAGTTGTTGGCGTATACTCGCGAAAATGCTCATCTACTAGCTGTAAAACATGTAAATGCCGATTCATTTCAGTATTAAGTTTGTACGTTTTTGCCGGTTATCTCCTGCTTATGCAACTGCAACCAGAAATTGGCGTATCTGCTTTTGCATACAGCACGGTTAAAACTAGCATCTTTTAACAGACCTTTCGAGACGTTGTGAATTACTAACCCAGCAACAGAGCATGTGCGACGTGACCGATCCCGACAGCCGTCGCTTCTGCCTGACGACGCGCGTCGCGTCTCGCGTACCTGCACGACTCGGCGGGAGATGGCGTCCTTGTTATCCGGCTCTGACGGCGGGGTCACGCTGTCGGGCTGGCTGGTGCTGCCTGGTTGGCTGGTGCCGTTCAGCCGACTGGTGCTGTTCGGCCGGCCGTGGGCCGCCTGCAAGCGATACTGGACCCCGCTGCGGCTGTGACCGCGGGCCTGTCGGTCGGTCAGTTCTTGGCGCAGGGCCTCCGAGAGGTTGTTCAGCTTATGCACCGAGTCGGCGACCGACACGGGCAGGCAGCGGCCGGACACCGGCCGCGAGCGGGTGTACCACGAAGGGCAGTGGTAGCCGTCCGCCAGCCGCTCGTACGGCATGGTCATGTCGGTATCCGGTAGGCAGTACTTCAGGTTCTTTTTCAGTTCTTTCTCCAGCGTCAAGTTGTACGCGGAGTTTTTCAGAAGGTCTAGAGGTGCACGGAAGAAGTACGTGTCGGGGCACTTTTCCACGCAGATCTGCGGCGTCGCGCAGCCGAAGATGGCGGAGTTGGCTAACGCGCACTTTGTTAAGTCGAAAAAGAACACATAGGGCTTGTTTTCGTAGCCCTTGTCGACGCCACAGATGTTTCCCTGAGTGTCGGACGGCATGACGAAGCGCCTGATAGAGCCGTGCGACGCGGCGATGCCTGCCGCGATGATCCACGCAGTCAGAGCGGCGGCGAACACCAGCAGGCAGGGCAAATCTGTACAGCTGCGGCTGCGGGCTATCGGAGAAACGTTTGCCATGTTCGCGCTACGAGATTGCACCCTTGCTGTGACAATCAGTGTCGGACACGAAGATGCCGATCATGCCTGCCTTGCAAGACTAGTGCACGAACTGCACGCCCGACTGCTTAAAGCTTATCTGTGATTTGCACCACATATTGCGTACATAAAATTGGTTGTGCACGTCTGGTTCGAAAATATGCATTATTAAACCATTGACGCCTTAACGCTCATCGGCGCATGGTCCGTTTACGGAGAAAATGTGTTAATTTTTGTGTTGCACGCGCATTTGTTGGCTTGGTATTCGCATGTCCGTCGTGCGTCCCAGTCCATAATAATGCATCACGAACAGAAACCGCGAGACCGGCGTGTTCAGTGAGCCCCTACATAGTTATGTGCAGGTCCTGGGGTTCATCAAGTTATCAGACATGTGTGAATAATGCGATTACCTCTTTAAATGACATGTTGTCATTGGCCGTGCTGTCTCGTCTCAGACCTATCATGCCGTCGGACAGGTGGACATGCTGAAGGCGGAGCTTCACCGCGCTGTGGCTGAGCGGGACAACATGGCGGCCCAGCTGCAACGCATGCGTGCTATGGAACTACGACAGCAATAGCCTAGTGGGCTGTCAGCGTGTGGTCCAACGAGCTGGACGGTATGCATGAAATGAGCTGTGCTCTAGTCCAATGGTCCGTGTCAGTGCTTACCGAACTGTCAGTGCTGATCGACGCGCGTTCCGTTGAGATGGTTGATCGCTGCCTAGTAAGGCCGGCTCAGCGTTCCAAGCTGTGCTAACGGACAACAGCAGCGCTTGGGTCTGTCCGCCAGACTCCAGCACAGCGCTGGGCAAGCTGCGCTCTTTGTATTGGTCCGTGTGCTCCTTTGATCGCACCGACACCCGTGTAAAGATAAGTTGTAGAAGTATGTATACATTCGCGGAACACTATGCCCATGTATGCGTGCTTAACTGCGAAATGTCCAGGTTGTTTACCAGAATAACGTGGAACACAACCGACTTCAAGACAAGGGGAGGACGTATTCTATTCATTCGTGTCATGTGGCTCCGGGTAATGTTCATTTTGCGTTACCAGCTGTGAACATCAAAGCACGTCCCTTCAATCCAAAGCATTTCATCTCGTGAGGCAGCTTAAACCCCTGACCGAAGTCCATGCGTATCTATGAAATCATGTTAGTAGTCACAGCTGTAGACTACGTGCTGCAGTGAACTTAGGCACGTATATGCTAGTCATTCGCTTTAAATATCCCCACTTGAGGTCAGCGCTGCTTCACTAGTTTTCTCACACCTTTCAGCCTGTGTGGCATGCTCGTCATCTGCTCAACTGCGTAAATAGAAGCTTACTCGTGATCTCCTAGGTTAGTGGTGTGTGCGTGTGCAGAGCTTTGTAACAAGCGGCGCATCCGCCATGGTCGTGTCGAGCGCATGCTTATTTCACGCGTAAATATATGCGATATGCCGGCGCTGTGTTACCAAGTGAACTCAGACATCGTGGGACCGTTCAACACGCGTGGCGTTTGTTTATTTGGTTGCAGCTCTTTTCGGCCACGGTCGACATTTTCAGAGCAAAAATTGTCGCAGACCTTGGTATACGAGGTGGTGAGATCGCACTGCAGGAATACGGAGTGTTATCACGGCCGCCAGGCCTCACACGGAACACGAGCCGCGTGCGCTCGGGCGTGGTCCCCAAGTGGGACAGCCGCAAGGCCGACTCATAGCTGGTGATCAGTACTGGCATGCGCCGCTCCCAACCGCCACCGCGTCGACAGTCAAGCGTGTACGAGCGCCAGCCGCCATCACTGTTGGTGACATGCCAGGTACCCTCTCTGCCTTCGTTGTACATCTGGTGAGCGACAGCTGTCGTTCAGAGGCCGTTCAGTGAAGGCTGTCGTTCGAAGGCCTCTGTATGTGCGCCGGGTACGCTGTTCTCGCAGCTGGCGGCCCCACCCACGTCGGTTGGAGTCCAGGCGCATGGCCGTCCGTTTTGCAGTGTCCGTTTCTTGAAAGCAGCCATGTAGGAGCAAAATGACCATCGCAGTCGGCGTGCCCTTACACACCAATTAACAGCAAGAGAAGTCAGAGGCGCCTCCCAGCCTTCTGGTTACTACCGGCGAGGCCAACTCTTAGTTCGTTGTCTCTTCTCGCTGCACTCCCACTGACCGTTACACGAGTGCCTGAGTATCATTGTATTCTCTTCACCACTTCCCTATCGCAGTGGACTCGTCACTGAGAACGGGTTCTGGGCATTGTCTTCCGACACATTCAATACGTAAGGTGCACAGGCACGATCACATGTGATAACGCGGTATACCCCGGGAGCTCCCCACACACCAGCCACAGCACAATGTACCAAACGTGCACCACTTCCAGCACGCCTCCGCCCTCTCCCCTCCGGCGGCTATATGAATTTGTGTCTCTGCACCCTGTACAAGCCGTCCCCTATGCGCTACTCGGAGAGGTTTGTGAGCACTTCCAGACGCCGCGAAGCGCCGTGCGGCTTAGTTTGGCAAGGCGGCGAGATCTTGGCACGTGGTGACAGGCCACCGGCGGCGACCTGCCCGGGCGGGTCGTGACGCACCTCTGCGCCGGCCGCCGGGCAGACGCTGCGCGTGCGCGCCCGCCGCGCTATCCGCGGCGAGACGCGGCCCGCTCGCAAGCGCGCTACCGGTACGCACCGCACGTGTCTTCCGTGAAGTGATATCATATCACCGCCGTCATCATTATCACTCGCTATCACACGGCCAGCCAGTACACTCGTCCCCGTTACAGGGTCTCCTAGAAGCCACGAGACAATCCCCGACTTGGCATGACAACGTACTCCAACATACGATAGCATTCATGTCCGTCTTTTCCCACCCCGAGCTGACCCGGGAGGGTGACCAACCTCACACCCGTCTCCCAGCCGATGGTGATAACGGACGTGACCCCCCGAGCTTCGCTGACCAGCGGCGGCGCCGGCCGACTGCTCACTCCTGGAACGCCTGCTGGAAGCCGGTCAGACAGCGGCAGCCGCAGCCGGTGGGGCAGAGCTGCTGGTCGCGGAACCACTGCAGCATGTGCTGCAGGTGGCCACCGTGGCCGCACAGCAGGCAGAACGACGACATGCCTGTCGCAGGGCGCCGGCAGCTGGTCAGACGCCAGAGCGCAGGCCGGCTGGCCGGCCCCTGCTGGTCGCAGGGCACGCCGCAACACGGCACACACACGCGCGCTCACGTGCAGGCGCCACAGTCAGGCGTAGCTGGTGAGGTGATACGACAAACACACCGGCACAGAAAGGCACCGGAGGTATCCCAAGAGTCGACGAGAATGTCAGCAGTGCTTCAACGATTCAGCCAGCGATGCGAAATTCACGAGCTCTCTGACGGCCACATGTCATACTCCACTTCACGCATCACACTTCCATCACGGACCGGCCAGCTGGCGACGTGGCTGCTCACCTCGGACGGAGACGTGGCAGATGATGCACGTGACGGCGCAGCGCCGGCACAGCTGACACTCGGAGCCGGCGAAGCAGCGGCCGCAGCGGGCGCACTCGGTGCGCACCTCCAGGCCCGAGTGCGCCACCGGCACCGTGCTCACATACTTCAGCACCTGACACCGGGCGGCGGTCCGGCGTCATACGCGTGCGGCGGGCGGGCGGCGCCGACAGTCCGCACTCTAACGCGCCGACGGACTCGCCGCTCCGGCATTCGGAGCCGATGAACGAACGCACTCGGATCCAGCGCAGCAGGGTTTGGTTCTCTTATCGGTGGGTGTTGCAAATGTCTGCTTATTTTACAGCTTTGCTGGTGCCGTGCGACTGCGTGCGTGACCAGTGTATGGGGCCCAGGGCCAGCCAATGTCAATACACTTGAGTTCCAGATCTATGTATGAAAGCGAATGGCGTATGCGGAACCTAAGCAAACATCGCGATAGCTGCCGGAATATTAAAATTACTAAAAAATGATGAGTCGTAAAAAAGCCAAATGACAAAAACAGATTCGTCCCCCAGCTGGGGATACCGGTGCTCTAAGTGGCGCTCAGCTGTAAAGAGCACCCACTCAGGACCCTGGAGATTCAGCTGATCCCCAGCAACTGAAACAGAGCAGCACGGCTGCGGCACCGCGTCGACGGCGACGCTCACCTGGGCCCTATGGATGTGCAGCTGCCATTTGTACAGAATGTCGGCGTAGATCTTCTTATAGCGGTCGAACTCGCACTGACGGGCCTGGGTCCAGCATCCTGCCGGCGCGGTCCGGCATGTCACAGGCGGCTGTCTCCCTCTCCCCCGCCCCCCCCCCTCCCTCCCTCCCTCCCTCCCTCCCTCCCTCTGGTATGCATGGCCCCGGGAGGGATAGCGGTGGTGGCATGGTCAATACGTTCCCGAGCGGGGGATTTGACCGCCGGAGGTTTTTACAGAATAATTTCTGAACGGGGCAGTGTTGCGGTGCCAAACTTTGCCTAATTATAGGCAATTGAATAGCGTATCTTTCAGTACATAAAATAATCAGGTCGTGGCTCTCTGCGAAGGCCATTTGGAGGGAACTATTCAATCTGATGCGACAACGGGGCGTTAGACGAAGCTATGCATATTAACGATAGTTTTTTATGCAATAAAACGGTTGAAATGTCTTACAGCAACTCCCACCGACCTAATGTCAGGTATGAAGATCACACAGAGGTCAAAACCAACCTGAATTGCCACTGAAGAGCTTGCACTATGGGGTAGTTTCGGATGCTCATTTCGAAGTTATTAATAACAGGGATCGCAAGGTACATCTTCCACGAGGTTCTTGGAGGCCAGAGAAGGTCAGTGATCTGTAATGACCCAGTTCAAAAATTTGTTCACCAGAACATAACGCCTAGCGTAATCTTTGACGCTTATTCAACCGCAAACATCCAAATCGTGTAGGATTTTGGTTGCCACGACCCTGTAAAAGCCAGCACAGATACTTTACTTAGAACGGGTATCTAGGCTCAAGGCAGTCGCATGAGGAGGTCTGGTGGCACTTCGGACACCATTCTGGAGTTTGACCTCATATGACCTTATCTGGCCAGTTCATAACCTAGAACCTCAAATTTGGACACACACAGATCAGTGAGTTCACATACAAGCTAATCCACCGTGCGAATTTTGTGTCTCTAGCTTTCTTAGTTTTTGAGATGTCAGGGGGTCAAAATGACCGCCACCCGAGCGAAGGGCATTCAACCGGCCACCCGGGCGCGTGTTAAGCTGCGCGTTTGGGAGAACAGAAATACCGGGTTAGATTCCTCGCGGTACTCGCCCCCCTGCCAGGGTGAGAGGCATGCATCGCCATACAGCCTCAGCAGCTGAGAGTCTCGTAAAGCCCCAACGGCGCCGGCGAGCGTCGTCGTCCGCTGCGGCGGCGGGGCCGCGCCGAGACGCGACGGAGGCGGTGACCGGTAGCGACACCGGTAGCGACACCGGTAGCGACACCGCTCAGCCGTCGGTGCCGTGCAACAGGCGGACTCGAAACGCCCGGAGTCCAGTGACACCAGTGACAGTGTCATCAGTGACACAGCGACACCAGTGGCGCAGTGACACCAGTGACACAGCGACGGCTACAGCGCAGTAGGACGGACAGGGATATATTTCTGGACAGAAAACATACATTTTACAAGTCTAGGTACTCCAGGATGGTAATAACTCCGTCACTGGGTGCGTTACCGGGACTTAAAGCCCGGGCCATTCCATCTGTGTTGCTTTTTTGGCGGAGGAGGGGGGGGGGAGGGCACAGAAAAATCGTCGCCTCCATCAAGAGGTCATGCAAGATCCCGCCCCTCTCTCCACTGGTGGCATTTCATCCCGTCTTAGGACTCTCACAGGCTGTGCTGGTCCGACGGGGCCCAAGATTCCAAGATCGACTTGAGCGAAGTAGCCGCCGTTCAGCAGTAATCCCGCGTGACCCCGCCGACTTGGGCGGACAGGACCAGAAGCCACCCGCAGCTGTTCGCGTGCGAGCGAGAAGAGCGGTACCAACCGGCCGATGTTCTCGCACGGGCAAGGAGGACCCACCCACAGCGTCTGTTCTCGTCCGGTAAGCGGGAAGCGCTACCCACCACCGGCTGTTCTCATGCGCGAGGGGACAAGCGCCACCTGTCTGCAGTTGTTTTCCTTCGGGTGGGAAGGATCGCCACCCACCTGCAATTGTTCTAGTATGGGGAGTACCGCCACCCACCTGCAGTTGTTCTCGTGCCGGGGAGTACCGTCCACCCACCTGCAGTTGTTCTCGTGCGGGGGAGTACCGTCACCCACCTGCGGTTGTTCTCATGCGGGGAGTACCGCCACCCACCTGCAGTTGTTCTCGTGCTGGACGCGCTCCTCAAGGGCGGCCGGATCGGGCGTCGCCAGCCGACTCTCGTCCAGCACGTCCGACCAGGAGTTGCTGCGGTTCTGGCGCGACACGGCCACGCCCAGGCCCTCGAGCGTCGGGTGACGGCGCGTGTCGGTCGGGTGCACGGTGTGGTACGGCGACTCGCCCGGCTGCCGGCGGCTGGCGCGGTCAACCCGGCCGCACGGCACGGCACGACACGACACGACACGGCACGGCACGTTGCGGCCCAGCACGGTACGGCACGGTGCGCCCCAGCATGGTACGGCACGGCATGGCGCGGCACGACCCAGCACGGCACGGCACGGACGGGGCGAACACGGAGCCGACACGGCAGTAAGGACGACGGTAGAAGGACGCCCAACGCGAGGTTCCAAGGCTGAAATGTGAATGTGGCGCTCTGCGCTATGGTGTGTGATGTACGTATCTCCAATGAGGTAAGGTCTTTCTTGTCCAGCTAAAATATTTCACAGTAGTCAGCTACCTCTACGTAGATTCTACCCGTTCATGGTGTCAGGTTCCTACGAGACAGGAGCACGAGACTGGTACTGGGATGGACAGATACTGCCAAGAGCTTATCGAGCTACGTGCTCAGCACGACCCAGACGTCTGGAGCCAGACGCAAGCCACGGATACACCAACAGCGCACCAGAAAAACTGGAGACCGACTGAGCACACAAAGCGAAAGCTTCGTAGTTGAACGATGCTGAACAGTACGTCATGTTTTTCGCTTGGACTGGAAAAGCTGTACGATTGCATACACACGCCAAGCATATAAAAACCCTCATGGTGTTCATCTCACCCAGCGATAACTTAAGCACGGTGCTGATGTGAGTTTGTTAACATTCCCCACGCCAGTTAGTTCCAGTTCGGCACCGGCCGCCGGCGACCACACACTCCACTAAACGCTCGACACTCAGTGGGTCCAGTCTGATAGTGGCATGATGCAAAACCAAACAAAACTCGCGCAAACGCAAACGGCTCAAGGCTAGCGCATCCAATCCTGGGCGAACGAAACCGAACGGCCGACGCCTGCTCGGGCTGCGAGTCTGCGCGTGTCAGCCGGGCCCACCCAGCGTGACCTCACGACAGGGCGTTTCTCGGTCCGGACGGGCCGCGGCCGGGCTGGCAGGCATGTACGTACGAGTAGGTTGGGACAACGCTCTACCGTCTACAACACTCATCTAGGGCGGCGGCCATGCAGTTATTCCCGGGAGGGCTGGGGAGGTCGGTATGTACAACCGGGTTCGAGGCACGGCGTTACCTTTTTCAACAGACCCAGCTGAAACACAGGAGACTGGTTACCGAGCTGGCCGCCTGGGCAGCCGCGGCGGCACCAGCCCCGCGCCGCCGCCGCGCGCTGACACGGCGCCGCTAACACTCGCTGCCTAAGGATGGCTCTCGTTCTAGAGTGCAATAGAGGCCACACCAGAGGCAGCCACTGCAAGGGTACTCTCTCTCTCTCCGTTCGGATTGTCGTTGAGCCAAGACCAAACGCATTCACGTATGAGCGCCCAGTGCAATCACGTGAAACGGCAATGCCTCGGTCCAAGACAATCGATGCAAGTATGGCTGGCGTTACATGACTGTCAGATAAAAAAGACACTGGAACGATGCAGCCGACATGGACCAATGACGGGGCTCATATCACTTGCGCGAATGACGTTTAGAGGATGACAACGTAATACTTTGCTCGACCAAGAAGTGAGCACGGACTCATAGCCAGTGCACATTTTGGGCACGACACCACCCGAATCACCGGCTTATAAACAAACATAGTGTTCTACGCTCATGACATAGTTTGTCAATCACCAACAGCGGTCAGAGCAGCTAGCAGGCACATCCCGGCCGCCAGCTGCGCGGCTAGAGCGGCAGGTCTGGCCGGCAAGCAGCGGGCCAACTACCACGGTCGGGTGCGAACAAAACAGAAGCAATCCAAGCAATCCGCCACCCCTTCCGCTGTATTAGCGCGTGGAAGGTGGTTTCAAAGCCAGTTTTCTCTAAAACACTGTGTAGAAGAGCGTCAACTGAGTGTCTCCTTTCAACGCGCAGACTGCTATCCTTAGGTCGCGGTGAACAATTGGAAATGCGATATGAGCACACCTTCAACTGATACTTTTCGTAGGGAGGTGCCAGAACGTTTGAAACGTGCCTTCCAATTTCCATGGCGGGACCACTGTCCCACAGTACCGATTCAAGACTATGTTCAACACAATGCAATGTCCCGCGCTCAGACAGCGAGATGGCAACACATGACAGCGCTGTTTGACATGACACGTGCTTCATCTACCACTCAGTGCTACCAACCCGGCCACCAGCAACGACACACTTCCCGAAAGCAATCGCGCGATAGGCTCCAACACATTTCCCTCGAATAATGCAGCTCTAAAATGCCAACGAATGCAAATTGTATGATTGCGACCAACCGCGCCTGTGAGAACATCAACTCAGGCCCGCACTGTTGCAGTAGCAATCGAGTATAAAGCGTCAGCTCCGTTCGGAGGAGTTTTGTTGACGCTACAAAACATTTAGAGGCCGGACCAATACAAATATAAAACTGCAAGCAACTCGAACGCATCGTCCAATAGGAACGTTTAGAAACACTATTTGATCGGTAGACTATCGTGCATACAAGAGACTAAGTTCTAATCGCACCAAAAATATAGGGAAGCGAAGTGAAACGAAAGAAAAAACAAACCAAGGTGCATCTCAGCGTCTTTGATCAGCATCTAGGGCCACGCAGTACTGCCTTCGGTATGTTGCCATTTGGAGCTTATATCCAAGTAATCCATTACGGCCTCATCCCTTGTTGGCCGAGATGAGAGCTCGCAAGAGCCGGCAGGGCCCATCCGACTACATTGAACCCTGTCGCCATTGCGACAGACTGCACACTCCAACTGAGACCCAAACTCGAGCCGCCGCAGGGCAGTCCGTTGGATCAACACCTAGTCTACTACGCAAAGACGACCGCCTGTCGCTACCGACCTACGACGACGCGGCAGGTCCCGCCTAATGAGCACACGCGACGGCCCGACGGCGTGAGCAAGAGGGGCCGCTGCGGCCGCGACGAGCCAGCGTCAGCGGGGGAGCAGATCGGGCAGGGCGGACGCGGGCGCGGGGGCGGGGGCAGGCTGCATGCCGGGGCGCCGGGGGCCAGCGTGCGGACGGACGGGACGGGACCAGACGCCACACAGGCAGCCAGCACAGTCGGCGGACGCCGCGCGCCTACCTTCATCCACCACTTGTTGGGAACGGGCAGCTGGGGAAGAGACCACGCGGTTGATCGGGACCCACCGGTCCAACACAGCCGGTCGGTTTGACAGGCGACAGTAGGCGAGCGGCACCCGAAGACCGGTGCCAAACACGATCAGCACGGCCAGCACTTAGGCCTGCACCATCCGCGCTACAGAACATCAGCTCCTCCGACGCTTATCGGGAACTTTTGAGTGGGCTGTGATGGTGACTCCCAGGCTCTGGCCTACCTTTCTTTCGACCCGAAGGTCAAAGAAATTCACCCTAACCTCATGATCTCCTCGCCACACAACTCCTCCTCCCCGCCAGCGGACTTAAGTGACATCCGGTCGAATTTCTCTATCAGCGCACCACTGGATGTCTCGTGAACGTCAAGGTTGATACACCAATGACAATGGCGGTTACAACTTCGGTTAACACTCAACGCATCAACGCAATAAACACACACACACACACACACACGCACGCACGCACGCACGCACGCACGCACGCACGCACGCACGCATATATATATATATATATATATATATATATATATATATATATATATATATATATATATATATATATATATATATATATATATATATATATATATATATATATATACGCATATATACGCATGCACGCACGCACGCACGTATGTATAGATCATATCATACATATATATATATATATATATATATATATATATATATATATATATATATATATATATATAAATGCGCACGCACGCATATATAGATATATAGATATAGATATATCTATCTATCTATCTATCTATCTATCTATCTATCTATCTATCTATCGATCTATCGATCTATCTATCTATCTATCTATCTATCTATCTATCTATCTATCTATCTATCTATCTATATATATATATATATATCTATCTATCTATATATATATATATATATATATATATATATATATATATATACACAATTACACCCGGACCACCAGCCTCTTGAACGCACTACATCCGAACACAGCTGTACAACAGTGACATAGCAATACTGTTACTTTACGGCCGTGTCCGAAGCCCCCTGCACGACAATATACACAGTGGCGGGCCCACCCGCAGCAGAACCGGACAGCAATGCCTTGAGTGGTCCCCGGCCGCCGGGCAGCCGCGGCGTCGCGCGCTGCCCGCCCCGCCACTCACGCTGCTGTTCTCCAGTTGGGAGGCGGCCTGGTGCAGGCTGGAGACCGGCTGTTCCGTCTTGGTGCCCAGCACGCAACAGATCATGGCCACCGTCTGTACGTCACGCGCGCGCAGATAGTGCGCGATCCTGCCGGCGGACGCGGCGGCCGACTGTCAGACGCGGTGGCCGACTGTCAGGCGCGGTGGCCGACTGTCAGGCGCGGTGACCGACTGTCAGGCGCAGTGGGCGACTATCAGGCGCGGTGGGCGACTGTCAGGTGAGGTGGCCGACTGTCAGGTGAGGTGGCCGACTGTCAGGCGCGGTGACCGACTGTCAGGCGCAAAGGGCGACTATCAGGCGCGGTAGGCGACTGTCAGGTGAGGTGGCCGACTGTCAGGTGAGGTGGCCGACTGTCAGGCGCGGTGACCGACTGTCAGGCGCTGAGCGACTGTCAGGTGAGGTGACCGACTGTCAGGTGAGGTGACCGACTGTCAGGTGAAGTGGCCGACTGTCAGACGCAGTGGGCGACTGTCAGGCGCAGTGGGCGACTGTCAGGTGAGGTGACCGACTGTCAGGTGAGGTGGCCGACTGTCAGGTGAGGTGACCGACTGTCATGTGGGTGGCCGACTGTCAGGTGAAGTGGCCGACTGTCAGACGCAGTGGGCGACTGTTAGACGCAGTGGGCGACTATCAGGTGAGGTGGCCGACTGTCAGGTGAGGTGGCCGACTGTCAGGTGAGGTGACCGACTGTCAGGTGAGGTGGCCGACTGTCAGGTGAAGTGGCCGACTGTCAGGCGCAGTGGGCGACTGTCAGGCGCAGTGGGCGATTGTCAGACGCAGTGGGCGACTGTTAGACGCAGTGGGCGACTGTCAGGTGCGGTGGGCGACTGTCAGGCGTTGACCGGGACGGCCACGCATGGTTTTCATCACCCTCGAACAAGAATGGTGCCATACGACCATACCGGGACATCGTCACCCATGCGGTACACTTCGCAAAGCGCAGGGGTCGCTGAAGTGAGATATCGGGCTTGGTTTCCCTCCAGTCCACCTTGCTCTTTGAGTTCACGAGGCCACTAGGCAAACAGTGTGCCTCATCAGCAAGCCAGAGACCGTAAATGAAGTCTGGTCGCTGCTGGAGGCAGTCAGCGAACCAGTGACACGTCGACATCCGTTTCCCCATGCCTTGAGTTCAAGGTCATGGAACACGCCTGTGTGGTATAACGGGTGTAGTTTGACTTCTTTCCACAATCCTGAATAATCTATTTCTGCACAGCTCGAGGTCTTGACGGCGACGGCGTAGTGATTTTGTTGAGCTCCGTGTGACTGACACCAGGACGACGGTGATGGTGGCTGGGTTTTTGTGTTTTTTGAAGATTTTATGAAGAATTATTTGAAGGTTGATTTTGATTTCCCAGTGAGTAGCCTTGCCCGGGAATAATGATCAGAATGTACACCGTTCTAGGCACTCTGAATTCCCGTTTCTAATAATAAATTGCATGTTTAGGGGCATCGCGTCTTTTAACACTAAAACTGCATACAAACTTCAGGCGGGTCCATTGGAAAGATATGGTTGTTCTATTTCGTAAACACCAAATGTGTTTACCTGACCGTCACACCCCATTTCAATCCAGCGTTAACTCCAGTAATAATGATCGTTTCTTGAAAAGGATATTGTGGCTCGTGTATTGAATGTGAATTACTGCGTGAAGGAAACACGTCTTGTTATACGTGTATACTTCAGGAAAGTGAGCGCCACACCTTGGGAAACATCCTGCTCTTGTCTGTAAAAAGACCTTAAGACTTAAGCCACTGACTGTGGTGATTGCGGATATTTTCAAAGTCTGCAACTGAAAAGATGTTGCTTATCTCAATGTTGGCTGCAGTGCTAAGACACACGTAAAGACGAAGACAGACGTAAAGTGACCTGCATCGTCAGATCATCCAATGATGTGAGCGCTACAAGGCTCATAAATCGCAGAGTGCGTAACAAATTGACAGGCAGGCAGTTCCATCACACGTTTTTTAAGATGGTTTTAGCAGTCCTGAACACTAGTCAAACAGGGCATACGTATTATGAGACATCATCGTAACACAGCGAGACAGAGGCAGACAGACAACACCTGTGGACGAACAGGTACACTCGAACCCGGTCCGGTCGACATCGCACCACGCGCAGAGCGCGGCGCCCGCTGCGTCACTGACAGTGTGAAGGAGCGCCACAGCGGGGTACGCTCTGACCGGCGGCGCGGCACCGCTGCCGGGGGTCAGCCCGACAGCGGCTGGCGGAGCTCAACCGGGAGCCGCACCGCACGCCCAGACAAGAGGTCGGCCTGGAGCGGGCATCCGGCCCGGCGGCGGTGACGGCGGCACTCACACAGAGTCGACGAGGTTGCGGCCGAACGGGTGCTGCGCCCAGGGCCGGCCGGCGTTCGGGTCCGGGCTGGGCGCCACCAGCGCCGGGGCGCCCACCACACCGATCAGGTTCCAGATCTGTCAAACACAGGCGGGCGTCTGTGGCCAGGCTGTCAAAACCGGCAGCTGTATGTGGTCAGGCAGCCACACACCCGCAGCCGTCTGTGGTCAGGCAGTCACACACCGGCAGCCGTCTGTGGTCAGGCTGCCACACACCAGCAGCCGTCTGTGGTCAGGCAGCCACACACCGGCAGCCGTCTGTGGTCAGGCTGCCACACACCGGCAGCCGTATGTGGTCAGGCAGCCACACACCAGCAGCAGTCTGTGGTCAGGCTGCCACACACCGGCAGCCGTCTGTGGTCAGGCAGCCACACACCGGCAGCTGTCTGTGGTCAGGCTGCCACACACCGGCAGCCATATGTGGTCAGGCAGCCACACACCGGCAGCCGTATGTGGTCAGGCTGCCACACACCAGCAGCCGTATGTGGGCAGACCGTCACACACCAGCAGCAGTCTGTGGTCAGGCTCCGACACACCAGCAGCCGTCTGTGGTCAGGCAGCCACACACCGGCAGCCGTCTGTGGTCAGGCTGACGGCGACCCGATCCCATGTCACCATTATACGTGACTGACTCTACCCCACCACTAAATGATCCTCCACATCACAGCGACACTATCAACCAGTCCTGCCCCTCAAGCCATTCATTGACGGTCTAAATATAGGATAACTGCTAATGGCACGAAATTACGCATGCATATTATTTCGAGTTCCGTGGCGAGACATGGCTTTTACCAACTATTCCAAATAACCAAAAAGACGTTTATCTTATCATACTAAACGCGTGGGTGACTAGGAACTTTATGAACTGACCTATCCACAAATAACAAGAGGAATCCAAAGTGAGCTCCTGCTGGCAGCCTCGCCCGTGGGCGGCGGTACCACTTACCTTCTCCAGATCCTTTCTGCCGACGGAGGCAGCCAGGTCCGCATTGGCGGCGCAGACCGCGCCGAAATCGGGGCCGCTCAGGCTGGCGACAGGTGCCGAACGTCAGCGCTCGACAGCGCGCACCGCACAGAACACAGGACCACGCAGAACCCAACGCCAGCTCGACTGCGCACACCGGACAGAAAACAGGACCGCGCAGAACAGAACGCAAGCGCTCGACCGCGCACACCGCACAGAACACAGGACCGCGCAGAACCGAACGCCAGCTCGACTGCGCACACTGGACAGAAAACAGGACCGCGCAGAACCGAACGCCAGCTCGACTGCGCACACCGGACAGAAAACAGGACCGCGCAGAACAGAACGCAAGCGCTCGACCGCGCACACCGCACAGAACACAGAACCGCGCAGAACAAAATGTCAGCGCTCGACTGTGCATACTGCACAGAACACAGGACCGCGCAGAACGGAATGTCAGCGCTCGACTGTGCATACTGCGCAGAACACAGGACCGCGCAGAACGGAATGTCAGCGCTCGACTGTGCATACTGCGCAGAACACAGGACCGCGCAGAACGGAATGTCAGCGCTCGACTGTGCATACTGCGCAGAACACAGGACCGCGCAGAACGGAATGTCAGCGCTCGACTGTGCATACTGCGCAGAACACAGGACCGCGCAGAACGGAATGTCAGCGCTCGACTGTGCATACTGCGCAGAACACAGGACCGCGCAGAACGGAATGTCAGCGCTCGACTGTGCATACTGCGCAGAACACAGGACCGCGCAGAACGGAATGTCAGCGCTCGACTGTGCATACTGCGCAGAACACAGGACCGCGCAGAACGGAATGTCAGCGCTCGACTGTGCATACTGCGCAGAACACAGGACCGCGCAGAACGGAATGTCAGCGCTCGACTGTGCATACTGCGCAGAACACAGGACCGCGCAGAACGGAATGTCAGCGCTCGACTGTGCATACTGCGCAGAACACAGGACCGCGCAGAACGGAATGTCAGCGCTCGACTGTGCATACTGCGCAGAACACAGGACCGCGCAGAACGGAATGTCAGCGCTCGACTGTGCATACTGCGCAGAACACAGGACCGCGCAGAACGGAATGTCAGCGCTCGACTGTGCATACTGCGCAGAACACAGGACCGCGCAGAACGGAATGTCAGCGCTCGACTGTGCATACTGCGCAGAACACAGGACCGCGCAGAACCGGACGTCAGCGCGACCGTGCCGGCCACGCATTTGACGCTGCCTAAGCAAGCGCCGACATACCAGCCGAAACGCCCGACGAAGTGACAGCGAGTTCAGCCGCCGGTAGCTGGACAGCGGGAGGGGGGGAGTAACTCGACCGCCACGTTGGGAGCCTCGGCACGCCGCCCCATCCCCCTCCCCCCCGGCGCCGGCCACTCACACGTATCGCTCCGCCAGCTCCCTGTTGAGCAGCGACAGGCGACTGACGTCGTAGCAGAGCACCAGGTTGCTGTGGTGACGGTGGTGGCGCTGCCGCTGGCGCTCCTCGCCGTACGCCTTGTTCCGCCGGCCCAGCGACGACGAGCCGGTGCGCTGCGCCGGCGGAGAGGACCGGCCAGGTCAGGAGTGGTGATCGAGGGGCTAACGAGGTCGTGGGGCAGCGACACAGAGACCGACGAGGTCAGGAGGCGGCGACCCAAGGACCGACGAGGTCAGGGGCGGCGACCCAAGGGCCGACCAGGTCAGGGACAGTGACCCAGGGACCGACCAGATTAGGGGCGGCGACCGAGGGGCCAGCAAGGTCAGGACGGCGGCCCAGGGGCTAACGAGGCCGTGGGAGGCGGCATAGAGACCGAGGAGGTCAGGGGGCGGCGACCCGGGGGCTGTCTGCGAGATCAGGTACAGGCGACCCAGGGGCCAACGAGGTCATGGACGGCGGCCCAGGGGCTAACGAGGCCGTGGGAGGCGGTACAGAGACCGAGGAGGTCGTGGGGTGGCACCCCAAGGATCGACGCCGCCCGCCCGCCCCAGTACGCGAGGGGCAGGCGGACAAGTGCACGGGTGGCAGCCGGGCAGACCTGTGCAGTGAGAGGGGCTCCGCCTGGCTTCAACGAGGCGGGGTACACGAGTCCATGGCAGTCGGACAGACACGGTGAGGGGTTCCGCGCTAGTACAGGAAGGCAGAGCCAACCACTCAGCTGCCGAGAAACACCACAAGCGCACCGAAATCTAAACCACTTCGTAGCGAGGACGCCGCTTCGAGCTACTGCCGCTCATTGCCGTGGTCACCTAACGCAGCCACGGCGCGGGGCGACAGCACCAGGAAGCGCCGCTCCCCACGCGGGGAACGGCGGGGAGCGCCGCCACTCACCCCATCCTTGGCGTAGAGGGCGCCGTCGGCGCCGGTCGGGCTGCGCGAGAGCGCCGGGAACAGCAGCGGCGAGCCGCCCAGCATGGACAGCCCCATCGGGCCCTGCGCGTAGTTGATGAGGTACGCGTCCAGGGCGGAGAGCGAGCGGGGCGTGACGCTGTCGCCGCGGGACGACAGCTTCATGAAGGCCGGACAGGCGAACACCACCAGCGCGCCTGCCGAGCGCGCCGCACCGTCACGTCACGGCAGGTCAGCGCGTGACGGGCAGCGGTGAACGCAGGCCGTACGCCAGGCGTCCGATGCGTCACGAATCGTCTTCACACCGCGCTCGTTCACCACGCACACATGGGAAGACTTTGATTGGCAGCCACCAATGAAAACCGCATTTGCGTGGCGATGTCATCGTGCATGGGATTTCAAGGCATGAACAATCATATATGTGTATATATATATATATATATATATATATATATATATATATATATATATATCGGTTGCAAGCATGGTGCTGCGCTGCGATGCAGCCGTTGCGTCTGCGTTATCTTGGTCACAACAAGGGCAGCAAGATCCAGGCACGCACTAGACGGCCGTCAGTTCGCTTTCGACACGACTCAGACCCACCGTTTCCGCAGAATCTGGCGCCGGAGGTGCGCGGGAAGGCGACGTTGACGTCCTTGAAGCTTCCGTACGGACTGGCCGAGGAAAATAGGGCCACATTGGACGCCTGGAAGAGGCCTTCCGGCGTCATCTGCCGTCCAACGCAGCCATGGCCGCGCAGAAAGGAGAACCATCTCTGAACCTGACACGACGACAACGCAAGGACGGCGGCACTGCAGTCATAATTTGATAAATAATGCCAGAAAAAACATAGCTTCGCGAAGAGATGAAGTTTCGGACCACTCGCGCGCGCCACCAGGACGCCAGCGCACGCAGGTACTGAGGCGCGCGCCACCAGGACGCCAGCGTCTGCCGGAGCGCGCCGGGCCCCGCCTACCTGATAGGGCGGCGGCGCCGTCTCCTCCTGGCGCTCCATCAGCCGCTGCAGGCTGCCGGCCAGGTTGCGCAGGCAGGGCTCCAGACAGGAGCGGTTCCTCTTGACGTGCTGCTCGGCCGTCAGCTCCCAGGCCTTGCGCACCTCCTGGCGGCCGGCCTGGCTCAGCCGGGTGCCCTCCAGGAAGCGCACCTCCGGCTGCCGGCTCGGGTAGCTGGGCGGGAAGGTGACCAGCAGGCAGGCGCTCAGTGTACCGCACACCACCGACACGTGGCACGCGCGCTCCTCGGCGTTCAGCTGCCGAGAGAGGCGGACCAGGTCAGGCACAGGTCAGGCCGCACACCACCGACACGTGGCACGCGCGCTCCTCGGCGTTCAGCTGCCGAGAGGAGGGCCCGGTCAGGCGATGGGCCGGGCAGCCAGCCACCGCCGCCGGCACCAATGCTTCTCAGCGGGTACGTACCCACGACTGGCCAAGTCACATCGAGACCGATTTGAGGGTGCTGTCCAGAATGGTGTAGACGGACCTCCCCACATAAACACTGATTCATGTATGCTGTTCATGAAAGGCGTGGATCGGTCTCTCTAGGTCGGGAGGGCTTCATATACGCTGTTCATGATAAATGTGGATGGGCCTCCCTCTCATTACCAGCGTGCCGTCCTCCTCGGCTGCCAGCATAACATACCCCCCCCCCCCCCCCCGGGACTCTTCGACCCGGGCCGACAGCGGTCTCTCCGTTCGCGCACCTTCTCGATGCGCACGTTGTCAATGTTCTTGTTGATCATGCGGAACTCCTGCTCGAGCGTGCGCGGCTGGCTGGGCGTGGCCGGCGGGTCCTCGCTGGTGGCGCGGCGAATACGGGGCGCCGCGCGTGCCGGCGAGTACAGCGGCGAGGCGGGCCCGCTGGCGGCGCCGCTCTCGGCCGCCGACTGCTCCCGCGAGCCGGGCGTGTCCAGGCAGCTGGTCTCCATACCTAGGGGCGGCGCGGGCGGGTCAAAACGGCGAACCGGGCGTGTCCAGACACCTGGTCTCCATACCTGGGGAGCGGCACGGCCGGGTCAAAACGGCGAGCCGGGCGTGTCCAGACAGCTGGTCTCCATACCTGGGGAGCGGCACGGCCGGGTCAAAACGGCGCGCGGCACGGGCAGATCAAAACGGCGCGCGACACCGGGCGAGTCGTACACGGCGCTGGCCGGGCCGAGCCGTGCAAGACGCGGGTCAACCCGAGCCATGCGAGACGCGGGCCAACCCGAGCCGTGCGGGACGTGGACCAACCCGAGCCGTGCAAGGCGCGGGTCAACTCGAGCCATGCGAGACGCGGGCCAACCCGAGCCGTGCAAGACGCGGGTCAACCCGATCCATGCGAGACGCGGGTCCACCCGAGCCGTGCAAGACGCGGACCAAGCCCAGCCGTGCGAGACGCGGGTCCACCCGAGCCGTGCAAGACGCGGGCCAACCCGAGCCGTGCGAGACAAGGGCTAAGCCGGGCCGTGCAAGGTGAGGGCCAAGCCAGGTAAGACAACCAGCAAGTCGCTCGTGACGGGGGAGGTCTTCCACGCCGTGGTGAGGTACGTACCATCGGTGGTGGGGGAGGCGGCGTGCTCGCCTTCCGCACCGTTGGAGGCCGTGTCGTGGCCGCACGCCTGCAGCAAGTCAGCCTTGAGCGGCCACAGGCGCAGAGTCTGGTCACGGCACCACGTGACCAGCTCGTACTCGCTCTCGTCTGAGAGAGAGAGAGGTTCACCGTCAATCCGTGCGGCCAGGGCACGCCGGCGGTTCGCGTTATCGTCGCTGCCGCGTGCACCCGACGCTTTAAGCCGCGCTCTCAACGTTGACAGCTAACGTTGAGAGCGCGGCCTAAAGTCCTGTCAGCTGACTTAAGACGGCTGTCGGCTAAAGACGACTGTCAGCAGTCCAGTTCGCGGCGTCTTACGTCGCTCGGCTCAGCGGCAGCACAGTTCCGCTGATGCCGAAAATGTGGCCAGAAGCAAGCTTTCGCCCCTGCAAGCGGCGCCACAACCCTATCACTCGGCAGTCGACCGCCGGACACAGGGCAAAGGCGAAGCACACGGCGCGCGAGCCTCCATCCCTCCCGGGCGGCGTGGCCGTCCTCGGCCGGCGACCTCCACCGCCGCTGCGTGGCGAGAGGCGCCGCGGCCGGGTACCTCGCGCGCGGGCCGGCTCCCGGCAGCGCCAGTCGAAGTCGAACACGACGTCCGAGTGGCCGGCGAAGGTGTGCACTGGCGAGCCGAAGCTGGCCGTGTTCCAGAGCCACAGGCAGTAGTTGTCGCCGCGCCGCAGCTGCGGTACTGCCTCAGTCACCAGGCCGCAGCCGAACGGCTGTCGGATACACGGGGGACGCCATCATGACGCACACGTGACGTCACCAGGCGGCGGCCGCACGGCTGCCGGATACACGGAGGACGCCATCATGACGCATACGTGACGTCACCAGGAGGCGGCCGGACGGCTGCCGGGCACACGAAGACGCCGTAATGACGCACACGTGACGTCACCACGCCACGGCCGAACGGCTGCCGAACACACGAAGGATGCCGTTACGACGCACATGTGACGTCACCACGCCACAGCCGGACGGCTGCTGGACACAGACGCACACGTGACGTCACCGGGCGGCGGTCGAACAGCTGCCAGAAACTAAGACAAATCGCTGTGGAGTTAACAGGGAGCACAGAAAAGCACGTGGGCGTCAACAACGCACGGGACACCCATGCCAGTGTTGCAACCAAGACACTCGTGCCCGCAGACAAACGCCACTGCAATGTCGACCGTGCATGACGTGCGAGCCGACACTGTACGACGCGGACGGAACAAAAACGCCGCATCACTGCCCTCTCCCCCCACCACTAATGCGTGTCGGACAGATCCAAGCCGGCGGACAGCGAGCACGTACCGTGTACCGGGCGCGCCACACGGGGTCCTTGGCCTTGGGCATGCTGACGATGTTGCGCGGGTTGGTGACGTCGATGAACTTGACGTACATGTCCTGGCTGGCAGTCACTAGCTGGCACTCCTGGGGGACAGCCAGCGCTGCAGGTCAGCCAAGGACACGGCCCAGGGCGACGGCGACGGCTCAGGAGGCGACGGCGGCCGCGCCGCGCACAATGTCATCAGCGGCGCAACAGAGGCAAACGCCGCCGCCGCCGGCCGATCGGACCGCGACGCGGTGTGTGTAAACGACATGGCGACGTCACCCAGGCATCCACAACCCACATCGGAGAGCAGGGCGCCGCGGTTCGCCCCCGACGACTGGATATGGCGCTGCGACGGGTGCCGCCACTCACGCAGTAGCGACACCAGATCTAATCAGCAATGCCGGTCGGGCGCGCGCTGCCTCACTCGCCTCGCCGGCCCACGCCGTCACGCAGCGCCGCCGCGGTGCGCGGCGGGAGGCGCGGCGGCCGCCCAGGCAGGCGACCCGCCGCCGATGGCGGCTGTGGGTGGCGCCGCCAGGCCGGAGCGACCCGCCGCCGGGCCGGAGCGCCCACTGCCGGGAGCCTCACCACGGTCGGCGACCAATCGAGGCCGTGGATCTTGGCCGTGTGGGCCGAGATGTAGCGCTCCGGAATGCTGAGCTTGCGCCGGTCCCACACGCGGATGTCGCCCTCGTGCGAGCTGGCCAGCGTCTGGCTCGATATCCGGTTCCATTTGACCTGACCATGAGGGGAGGGAAGGGAGTGTCAGGGCCGACACCGTGGTGCGCGATCAAAGACGCTGACCGAGCCTAAGTTGGCTCGGCTGGCTCGGCTCGCGGTTCGCCACCAGCGCGGACCAATCGCCGGCTGGGCCCCAGCCTCCGGCCGCCGCCGGGTCGGCTCCCTCACCTGGCAGGCGCTCTCCACGGAGCGCATGGCGGCGGCCGGGCGGCGCGGCTCGCGCACGTCCCAGATGTGCACGTTGGCGTCCACGCTGCAGGTGGCCAGCAGCGGCTCGCTCCAGTGCCAGTCGAGGTCGGTGATGCTGCGCCGGTGCGACTGCAGCTTCGCCGTGTCGCGCAGGTCGGCGCCGTCGCAACGGAACACCACCACCTGGGTGTTGTACTGCGGCGGGCGGAGGACGGCGATCAGGGGCCAGCAGTGGGCCGGCAGTGGGGCCGCCCTGGCCCAGCGGTGACACGCTTGGTGGGGGCGGACTTTGGTCCGTGGTCAACCCCACACGTGCTGATCGCCGCCAGTGATGGCAGTCACCACACACTATATATATATATATATATATATATATATATATATATATATATATATATATATATATATATATATATATATATGTATGTATGTATGTATGTATGTATGTATCAACCGATGTGCACCAGCGAGTGACAGAGCGGCGACGAGCGCCGGTGGCGGGCGGCACGGATGAACACTGACGGCACCCGGCGCCGACGGCCGGCGACGGGGGTGGTCACTGACCGCGACAGCGACGTCGGCTCCGATCTGGCCGGCGGCTCTGCTCCAGGCCGCCACGCCGGCGTCGTACTTGCTCTGCCAGCTGACGGAGCGCAGCGGCTGGCCCGGCTGCTGCAGGTCCACCATGACCAGCAGGCGCCGGCTGGCCAGCAGCGCGTGGCCGCCGTCCTGGCTCACCGCCATACAGCTGGCCGACTGGCGGCCAGTGAACAGGTGTCACAATGCATGTTGCCTCATTGATAACAGATACAGCCTCAGACATCATATGATACTGAGTGGAGTCAGATACAACATATAAGATGTTCAGCCTGTCATACAGTAAATAAACAGAAAATTGGGACTCAGAAGGCAAACAGCAAAGAAACATACCCATGGTGCAACATAATTTATTTTGTTGTATTCAGATAACAGTCCAATCACATTAAAAGGCTATTTTTACATTTTGCATGGATCACAACAAAAACAGATGCAGACAAAAATATCAACCATTTCTGGGGGCATGATCACATTTCCTCACCGGTATGTCCTTTCGCTCAGCTGTAATGGCTTCTCCACTCCAAAAGTTGGCAGCCATAGTGGTAGTTTAGATGTTTGAGTCAGTTGCTTGAAGGATCCAATAATATGTGAGCAGGAAACTAGCAGCTGGTAACAAACAAATCCTCTACATTTCTATTCTGAAAAACAGGATTGTACAAAGTTACGGCACAGCATATTCAGAGACAAAGGGAACATTGTGCTCAGCCTAACTTATGCACAACAAGGGGAAAGGGTTGAAAAATGACCAAAAATGTGTAACATACTATATGGATGTCCCCTTGCAAGCAATCCCTTTTAGATGAGCAGCAGACACTTTGACGCCAAAACTTTTAGGGGAAAGGAATCTACCTGAACACTGGGAAAGATAAACACCTGTCCACCCCACAGATTTGTGTTGTGTGCATGAACAGCACTCTTGATGCTGTAAAATGTGACCACCTGAGATGAGGTTGGCCTTTTCATTTTGGTAGTTGTAATGAATGTGGCAAAAATATGGAAGGCAAATAACTAAAATAAAAATGGTGCACTGCCACCACAGGATCAATCAGGGAGGATTCAGTGGACACAGTTTTTCTGCCCCTTTCCTTAGATCCACATTTTGTCATCATCACCACAGATGGTTGACAGAAAATAAAAAATCAGTACCCTGTGTTCTTCACCCCCCCCCCCCCCCCCATCCTCCCTTTTACAGAATCCTGGCAGCACATCTGACTGTCACGATTTGGAAATCCCTGCATCAATGTAATCCAGTTGGAGACTTGAGATTGTAATGGGTCCTATGCATGCATGCAACTAATATTCTAAGATCCTTTCATACTACAAATGTCCATGGATGAAATGAAATGTGTTTACACTGACAAAAGCATTTATGGTGTTCTTCATGCTTTGATAAATTTAAACTGAGTTATCAGCAACTCACCACAATGCATGCTAGAGATAGCTTGTTACACATTTCTTGGACCCACCAATCACCATACTATGTAACCCAGTGATGGATAATGTTGTCTTCTACCTTTTGCCAGACAGAGCTGCAGATGGTAATGCATGCTGCACACATATGTGATAAAGTTAGCCCAGTTGACAAGGAATCACATTTTAAGGGTAGCTGGTAGTCAACTCAGCCTGTAAAATATCACAGACATTGACAAGATCCTGTTAGGGAGGGTTGAGGAAAGAATCGATAGTTGGGGCATGTGTTGAGGCATTTGAAAGAACTGAAAACCCATCACAATGCATAATAAATGAAGAAGAGACAAGCAAATGCACCACATTTTCCTGAACTGCATAACAGTTATCCTAACTGGTGCATATTATCCAACCAGTTTCAGCATGTAAATCCATGAGCAGCTACTGTAACCAGAGACCCACCAATCACATGTGCAGAGCATTTATCTTGCACTGGCTGCCACTGCTTACACTGAACATGTAAACCAGCAGCAACACAGAAATGAATGCTGAGTAAGCTAGTAGTCTAAAGTGACTCCAGAACTGTGAGGTTTCATCATTCACACTGCAAAAAGTTTGGTACATTTTAGCACACCAAATTTGGTAAAGCAAAGATTATGTGGCATATTTAATGGAACTCTGCATATTCTCACACATAGCAGTATAGAAAATTAGTGGTCAGCAGAATTTGCAGTAGTCAGATATCATCAGATATCATTGGTCCAAATAGAAAAGTTGGCTGCCCTATCTGCTGAAGAATTTGACCTGCCCTAAGCACCTTGTAGACTGGTTTGCCACCACCCACAGACTGGTGGTCCCATCACGGCATCATCCATGCTAGCATGTATTGTACCAGCCCATAATTTTTTTTCACGTTATCTACACAAAACAGCCAGATAATACTCAAGGGCATCTTTCATGCTAAAAAAAACTGAGGAACTAGGAAATTTTGTTCACTGACAGCCAAGTGAGGGGCAAGGGTGGCAATGCCCCCAACCTGATAGCTACACTACATGCAGGACAATTTTGCATATACTGAGTCCAAATTGACATGAGTTTGGAAAAAATGGCATTTGGGACCCTGGATAAAGTTATCATTACAGTAGCTGCCACTTTTGGACTGTTGGACCTCTACAAATCACAGGAACATGTTGTTAAAAAGCAATCACATGGAGCTACCTACCCAGTTGAAAGGCCAAGGTCAGGGCAATTAGCTTCCCATAACACCTACCTCTACCAAAATGTTTACATGAATGCAGGAGTGCAGCCTATCACTATACCACCCACCGCCCATTCAACCCACAGATTAGTACTTAAAGGGTTGACGCATAAAACCAGCAGTGCACCACATACAAAGCGCCACAATATATTATTTCATATTTACCATAACAGTACTACGTCTCTGAACATCCAACACCAATATATCAATGTACCATGAATGTGGTCTCATCGTATCATGTTATTATTCTTTCTGCGTTGTTCATCTGGTTATTTGGCTACCTCAGATTTGACTCATAAGCGTTATCTTCACCGACAAGTTGGAAGCATTTGGAAGCAATGTCATAGCTGCTTGAGAAACGTCCGTAAGTTGTCGCTCGAGAGATTAGGCCTTTGTCACACACAGGGACCTCGGTTAGTACCAAATCTGACATTCTCGAAAATTCAGATAAGCAGGATCAGGACCATGGTTTGCCGCGAGTGCTGTCAACATGACCTCCGGAGGCGCTTTGTTTTATTATCAAGCATGGTGCTTGAGATACAGGTACTTCTCCATCATTTCACATTTACGGTACGGTATGATTCCATCGCATAGCACCGAATGTACAAACATGATGTGACGAAATGGCACCTGATGCCGAAACAAAAAACGCTTCCAAATTCGCCGGCTTTTTTATTGGGCCGACGAAAAACAGCGAGTGTTACCGTCCGTCTTACACCGTTTCCGTGCATTTTAAAACTGGACGAATCTAGCATGCCGCGGGGCCAAACTATATATGAGTCAAATAAACGTCATACTATCACGCATTTAAGGCAGGGCTCTAATTGGACTAGATCAAACCCGAAATCGTTGAAAAATAGAATAAGCTGGAGCAAATCCAATGGCTTGTAAGGGCTGTAAGAGTGGCCGTAACATTTCCCTCCTGAGGCGCGTTCGTTTTATTATGATGTACCTATGCGTTATCTGAAGTTTGCGGCACAGCGCAAATAACCATTGCAGGTGAAGCGCCCTTAAAACCTAGTAAATCAGTTTGAGGCACTTAATGGCTTGGGTCCACGGAACCAAATATATGTACGTAAAATAACTGTTGGCACATCATGATGAAACAAAAACGCCTCCAGGGTACAGTAAAGTGGCTACTTTGATTAACACGAGCACAAACGATGACTTTCAACTGCGGTAATCCTATTTCAGGTGTCTTTCAAAATACGGTGTCTGTGAAATGTTGCGGGATAAAACTAGGTACCACTCTGATAAACGCTTACATGAAAAGGGCTGATTGGCACCAAGCCTGAATTGATGTCATTGGTGTGTATCATTGATGTCATTGAAATGTGTGTATCATGAAGTCATTTTACGTTTGGTATGCGTTTGGCCACATGTGATTAAGTCCTAAAGTAAGGCGAATGTGAAGTGACGAATAGGTGCATGGTAATTAAGTGAAAAAGGCTCTTAGATAATTTTTGGCCGATTTGAAGCCCTGACGGTAAGCCATGGGTGTCAGTGCTTGTTTATTCCTATGGTTCAGCATTTCATATTTGGTAACGCATTAGGTCCCTGTACTGTAACGGTTGTGTTAAAAGAGCTATTCAGCAGATCCACACTCTAGATTCAGCGGATTCTTTAGATTTGCCTGAAAGCTTGCAGGAAAAGTTTCATGTGATCACGATATGCACAATTTGACCTGATTTCTGGCCACGATCAGAAAAATCGATACCAGAGACCTGATTACAATGAACACCGAATACGATGAGCACCAAAACGCCCTATCCCTGTAGTTAAATCATCAGACATCACGATCAAGGTATCCAGTTCAATGTATCATCACGATCAAGGTATCCAGTTCAAGGTATGAGTGCAGAAGCCAGACTCGAATTACATGTTGGCATCAGCATATTGCCGTCGAAACTCAAAACGCGATATTTTGTCCCGCTGCTCCCCTAAGGCCCGCCGGCCAGGCTGACTCCGTTCGGCCAAGCGCCAGCAGACCTTTCTTGGTCAGTCGGGCAAGACTCCTTCCCGCACAGTGGCTCGTACCCAACACCCGCTCCCCGTGACTCCCGCCCCACCCACGCACCCCGCCTCAGCCCGCTGTCCACGGCATACGAGATTTGGGTGCACGCAACAACGAGCTGAGCCACTGCTCCCGCCCTCATACGTGGATTTCATGCGTGGACTAGACGCGTTCAGGCGGTCTAGAACCGTTTTAGCTAAGGTTTCATTGATTTAACTCTGGCAGATCCGGGCCCGCCATGAATTCTTCGCCGTTGAGTCGAGTACCTCCGTACCTGGTGGCATACGCTGCAAGCAGTCAGTTCTGGTCTGCGTTAGCTGTTATGTTAATTTGCAGCTTTCTCTCGCCTGACGCGCGGACAGCGTCCAGACATCCACCCGCCTTTCCTCATTGTCTCTATCATGCATTCTTGTGACGCCCGCTGTCCAAGACAAGCCATATGCACCAACCATGAGTGCACGTGGAGTCGACGTAGCTTCATCCGCAACAACATTTCATAAAATTAGGGTCATGTCTGTGGCACCGCATAGACGGGTTAGACCCAAAAATGTCAGTTCGGCCTTCAACACGTAAAACCACTAACTTGTGCGTAAAAAGAAGCCAAAACACTTCCACCGACGGTCTACTGACTATTTTGTCAGACCTGACAACTAACGACTGACTTCGCTCCCTTTTTTCCCGACTGGTCCTGCCTTTTTTCTAAAATGCATCGAAAATAGCCCTCATCATTTGTGCCTAGGCTTTCCAGACTTACCAGACAGGCACGCCGAGCGGTAATATCAACGGATAACGTGATAGCACGCCAAACAAGCTCCTCGTGATTCATGATGCGAGAGCTGGCTTAGTAATAATGTTCGAGAACAAGATGTGCTTCCAAAACAGCCTTATATGTTGAAAGAGTTTCGCTATAGGTCATTATCAAACAGCTATAAACTAATGCTAGAATATTAACGATGCTACCCGGCACCAAAGCCTCCCAGGCCTGTGGCCCCGTAGAGCACTCGACGAGCTTAGCTCACTCACAGTGTTTCCTACGCTGGTCATTTATGACTCCTGCATCTGCATCGCATCGTCAGTTGCGGCGTACATACGGAACCAGCTCATATCTTATTGACGCAATAGCGCGTTCTTTTATCACCGCACTTCTTTGCTTAGCGTTGTTCGGATCAATGTCGAACGTAGGTTATGACCACTGCCTCATTGTGGTCATTTATCACTCGCATGCGTTGATCACCAGAGCGCTCTACGTCGTTTCGTGCCCCGTGGGAAGAGGCGCACTTGTGTGTGAGCGACGGTGTGCCTGACGGTTTGGGTAAAAGCATTATTGCTTCACCCTTGTTCCGCCACCTTGTGCACAGCTACCCGACAGCTGTACAAAAGGAAACATTTTTGCCGGCAAGGTCGACTTGACCCAAAAGACACCATGGGTGGTAAATGTGGTTCGTTGGGCAAAGTCCAAAGCGCGGCCTGTGGACCTTGTAAGAATGATGACGACTGATAAATGCCCAGAGAACTGAAGCCCATGACTATGTGTAACACAATGCAAGACCTAAAAAAGTGCACATGTCACTGTACAAACTAGGATCAATGCTGCGTTCATTGGCATTGACTGTACTGTCTGCCCCCCCCCCCCCCCCACTCCCTAAGAACACCGCCGTACGTTTACCCCACTGCTGGTGCTGGGCGGAACGCAGTAAGCATTCAGCACTCATTGTAAAGGCTGCAGAAAACATTAATGAAGTTTTCGACATAGTGCTAGGGCTGGCTCTGGACGCTCTACTCCGAAGGCATGGGCCATCTTACAACATCACGGCACATTGAGCCCTTCCATCACTGTAAAAGTTTGTTCCTCCGACATAAGGTAGCACAATGTTCGATGCCATTTTCCAGGCATTACTTTCCCGCTGTGCAGTTCGACGAGGTCGGAGCATAGCTTCAGTACCCCGTAGTTCAACGAGGTCAGAGCATAGCCTCAGCACCCAGCAGTTTGACGAGGTCAGAGCATAGCCTCAGCACCCAGCAGTTTGACGGGGTCAGTGCATGGCCTCAGCACCCAGCAGTTTGACGAGGTCAGAGCATAGCCTCAGCACCCAGCAGTTTGACGAGGTCAGAGCATAGCTTTAGCATCCTTGCAAGATGCCCCAAGTATTTTTTTCGAAATTGAACTCTTTGAGTCGTCTATATAAATAACATGTGGGAAGCATAAAATTCACAGCGGACTGGAATTCAAAGTCGTAATCAAATAGGATCGGATAATGGATTTAGAAAACTGACGTAATTCTTCGGGTCGATAGGATTCCTCAAACCATCTTTCGGGCAATAGAACCGTCCCTGATATCCGGGAACGTCATTCGTAGTGGATTGAGCCTGTCTTGAGTTAAACGGATACGATACAAAATTGAACATCGGATGCACGGCTGTTTCTCGGTCCTAAACGAATCCAATATCCTCCTGGGCGTTTGGGACCGGTTGTCAAATCAGAGCAGCCTCCCGAAAATATTGTCCCTGAGGCACTCTCTTCAGAGGGGTATATCTGCATATACCGATAGAGCAACATGGTGTCATTAGCTCTGACTGCAGCCGAGTTACACCGAGCCAGCCAAACTTCCCATAAGAGACCGTTTTACAGTCTTGGAAGCGCCCTGCTATCTTGGGACCATGCATCCACAAGATTAGCTATCGGCTCCATAAATACGGCGCATTCTTAGTAGGATTCTGGCTTCGTAGGTCTCTTTCTACAGTCATTTTTAAGTGCGAGCGATTGGCACTTTTACTGCGAACGGGACTGACGCCGCGTCTTATTTTGATTGGTTATGTGGGCTTTCAGGAACTTCTGCTATACATCCGCATAGTGCCGGCATCACTGGTCACATTGACAGCATAGGCTCCCTGACAGCCCCGAGACGCATTGCCCGCTTCAGGTGCAGGTACTGAGATGAGATGGACTCTCTGATGCTTTGTTTATGCTCTTCGCGGACTGGTGGTCATTTTTGCAGCTTGATGGGACCGGTCAAAGTTTCCATGGGGCTTCACGCGCTCTGGAGGTTATGAAGCCCGTGTACATTCAAATGCTTTCAGTAGGCATCCCAGAAATATTCTATCGACACTAGAGCAGTAGCAGCAGATTTATTATATTTTAAACAATGAATACTTTGCCGTGGTTTCAATCTCCAGGGCCTCCGTAGGGCCACTTCCTATACTCAGGAAAAAGTCCTTCTTGGCGCAGGTAATTGAATGACTTGAGCGCATCTGATTAGTCTTGTCTTTCAAAGCCCTTTGCGCAGAGAAATGGTCCTTTTATGAGCCACTTAAGACTTCCTCGAGGCATTTGACGGTTATGCGTGCCATTTGGACTGAAGTTATTACGCTTGGTCGCGTAAATGATCAATGTTGGGCCCATGGTTCTTGAACGCAGAACCGAGGGACACTAAATCGCTATGAGTGGTACGTACGCCACGCTAAGGTGGTGACAGTGCAGATCAAGGGAGCTGCCACTGCCACTTTCGGCTCTACGACGTATTCAGCTGTGGAGGCTACCTGGCGTCGCCTGTCTCTTATTCTGGTGGGAAGGGACGACACCGCAGAGAATCTAACTCCGTACCTCCGTTTTACCAGATGCGCCGCTCTACCACTACAACATTGGTACCTTGAAGGTAGCTGGTTTTCATACAAGTGTGTCTTTGCCGATGCATTCATATGCGGCAGCCATGTAGTTGGCACGGGGCCGTAACATTCAGGGCTTTATTGGCAGGGTCATGGTACATACATCTCTCCTTGCCTGACCCGGGGAGGTATTCTGCAGCAAGGGAGCGACAGGCACTGACCTGCAGCAGTGAAATGTAGAGACGCCCTGGCAAAACAGCCTCTGTTGCCCCTCCCGCGCGGTTGGGATGTCTCGTGAACATTTGGCTCGTCAGTGCCGAGTGCAAATTGGTGCGAGTTTAGTAATCACTTCCCACAAGGGCGCACAGGCGGCTGCGACGTGCACTTTGATGACGCGCAAGACCGGTCTGGGACGGCTGGCGTAACACGGGTAACAATCGGAACACGACGCTGTACCAAAACCCCTGGTCTCTTGGCATGACGCACCAAACCTGGTCCTTCCCAGGTCTCGGGAAACAGTCTCGATCTTTGGAAATACACTCGTGTGCAAGAGTGACAGCGTTTGTTTAGATAACACCATTGCACCAAGCGGGGCGCGGCGGAGGGGAACAACAGCACCCAGTTCTGACTTCGCGCTGTGCGTCAAGCGGGCAGTCATGGTCACGACACACTGGCAGCCCTCGGCTCAGGCGTCCCAGGGCGCCGGCGCCGGCGCCGGCGGCGCCTTCAGCCGACCACGCGGACGCTCCGGTCAGCCACCGCCCCCGGCAGCGCCGGCCACTGAAGCCGGCTGGGGGTGGCGCTGCTGACGACATCGCTTCCGCGCCTCATCGATCGGCGCCCACCCGACGGACGGCGCCGCACGACCGGCCACCGCCCGCCAGCCACCGGACCCGATCACGACGCGTCCTCGGACACGTTCTCGGCCACTACTTCCAGCAGCTCCGTCGATCTGTCGTTCAGGAAGTAGGTTACCATCTCGCCCTTGCCCTTGACTTCGATCTTGCCGCGACACGTCAGCGGGTATCCCCGCGCGTGCAGGATGCGGTAAACCTCTTCCGTCACCTGCCGAGAACACAGGCGTCACTGTCAGGTCGCTGCCCCTCGCGTCGATTACGCAGGACGGTACGAAAACACTTCTAAGTCACTCAGCATTTATGGTCGAGTGAGCGAAGCTTCAGCTCAATCTGAGTGCATCACATCGGTCAGTGATATGCCTACAAACCGCATGTGTGCGTTCCACATGCACACACGAGCTTGATAGAGCAGTTGCGTTTCCTCTCTGTTCATGACACGCATAAGCAGCCCAAAGCATTAGCGCGATTGTCTCTGCGCCATTATTGGATCCACTTCCGCGTAAGCCACGCGTCTCCGGCCGTTGGTCGCTCATGATCACTGTCAGGCGGCGGCAGCGGGCCGACACTGCCAGCCTAGCCGGCGAGGCAGTAGACCCGTGTTCTCCGGCTGCCCCAGTCCAACGCAGCCGTCGCCACGGATGGTGACGCAAGGAGTTCGGCACAACTTATCTGCATGCACCGAGACAAATTTCCTCGGGGAAATAGAGGCCACATCCTTGGATGGCCTTGCATCAATGTCGATGTCAAATATGAGTGGTGTTGGTGCTCTGGTGCACCCTTGCTGACAAAAGAAGGCTAGAATCGTGATGACGGCACTCGCATCGCCTTTTTGCAATGCCTTCACGCCACTTGTGTTCTGTTTATATATCACCAGTTTTACCACAGCTCAACCGTGCGGGTGTTAAAAACAGTATGGAATGTTTCAAGAAATGGCGCTTGGATACTACTGCAGCACATCAACATTGCAATTCCATTTTCTATGTTAAAAGTAACGCTTTTAACCAGAAACAGATGTTTCGATATCGCTAAAATGCTATGCATTCTGGCAAAAAGTAGAAGTATTTTGAGGTTCTAGTGAAGCACACGGTAATTTTTGGCGAAAACGTCTTTGTGAAAATATGCGGAACTGCAGTCTAAGCTTTCTAGAACGCTGTGCGGATTGTTTAAAAAGTTCAGTGCTCAATTCAACCTGATAAATGACGCTTAAGGAATAAAAGGAACAGGGACAATAAAGGAAACTTTAAGGCTTAAAAAGAAACATTAAGGTTCAACGAACAAACAAAAAGGAACAATGTTTGCATTGAATGGTCTTTATCACTGCAAGCCGAGATGAAAATTGATAAAAGCCAGTGGTAAATGGTTCATATTTCGTAAGCGTTTCAAATAAGCATGCAGTTCGACCAGACATGGGCAGAAAAGATCAGCAGTGCTTAATATTGGTGTGCCGGCACAATCTGCCTTCTCAAAACGGCATAGATGGGATGGACAAGGCTGATCTAAAGCTGTAGTCGTGCAACCACAGAATATCATTACAAGGTAGCATGTCTCTGGCTGGCCGAATACAAATGTGTACAAGCCAAGAGATGCGTATGTTCGTGCGCAAGTCCTGCGTCGTCACTCTTAGATCGTGCCGTGTGCGCGATATGTGTCATATGTGTGATACGTGATATGATATGTGATAACATATCGTGCCATGTGCGCACGTCTGTCGCGCGGTATGTTTTCATTCATCACCATCAAGATCTATGCGTGATTTGCACGGTAGCTTACGCCTTATCTCACTTACGCGTGCTCCGAACCCTGCCGCCTCAGAGAAGGGAGCACGATTCAGCGTCCCCTCGTTTGTGGGAGTAAGCGGCTTATTTATAGCGCCTCCCATATTGAGCCAAGGCTGCTGTCAGGGCATCGGCACACCGACCTCAGGTTCATCGGCACACCGATACTGAGATTCATCGGCACACCGATACTGAGATTCATCGGCACACCGGTACTGAGATTCATCGGCACACCGGTACTGAGATTCATCGGCGCACCGATACTGGGATTCATCGGTATATCGCTACTGAGATTCATCGGCACACCGATACTGAGATTCATCGGTACACCGACCTGAGGTTCATCGGCACACCGATACTGAGATTCATCGGCACACCGATAATGAGATTCATCGGCACACCGATACTGGGATTCATCGGCACACCGATACTGAGATTCATCGGCACACCGATACTGAGATATCGTGCCCCACACCGGTACTGAGATTCATCGGCACACCGATACGGAGATTCATCGGCACACCGGTTTATTGAGATTCATCGGCACACCTGGTTACTGCGATTCATCGGCGCACCCGGATTACTGGGATTCATCGGTATATCGCTACTGCGATTCATCGGCACACCGATACTGAGATTCATCGGTACACGACCTGAGGTTCATCGGCACACCGATACTGAGATTCATCGGCACACCGATTCTGAGATTCATCGGCACATCGATGCTGAGATTCATCGGCACACCGATGCTGAGACTCATCTGCACATCGATACTAAAATGCATCGGTATATCGATGCTGAGATTCATTGGCACATCGACACTGCGATCCATCGGCACATCGATACTGAGATTCCCCGGCACACCGATGCTGAGACTCATCTGCACATCGATACTGAGATTCACCGGCATATCGCAACTGAGATTCATCGGAACACCGATACTGAGATTCATCGGCATATCGATGCTGAGATTCATCGGTACACCGATGCTGAGATTCATCGGCACATCGCTACTGAGATGCGTCGGCACACCGATGCTGAGACTCATCTGCACATCGATACTGAGATTCATCGGCATATCGATACTGAGATTCATCGGCACATAGACACTGCGATCCATCGGCACACCGATACTGAGATTCATCGGCACACCGATACTGAGATTCATCGGCACACCGATGCTGAGATTCATCGGCATATCGCTACTGAGATTCATCGGCGCACCGATACTGAGATTCATCGGCACACCGGATACTGAGATTCATCGGCACACCGATACTGAGATTCATCGGCACACCGATGCTGAGACTCATCGGCACATCGATACTGAGATGCATCGGTATATCGATACTGAGATTCATCGGCACATCGACACTGCGATCCATCGGCACATCGATACTGAGATTCACTGGCACATCGATACTGAGATTCCTCGGCCAGTGCGTGTCGGTTTCGGCCACGTTAACATTTTTGCAGCAAGGGGCGCGCATTACCAGGGTGCCAGCCGTGCGTTCGTCAGCGTATCCAGCCGTTTGGACTCCAGAGTTCCAATGTCCAATCACGTTTAGTTCGTGTCACCGAGGTGTCACCTCTGATTTGCACCACACAGACAGGCTGGAAACGTCATTATCGTCACAATACGACAAAACACATACTTCGACCTCAAGAGGTCGTAAAAAGCAACAGAACTGAGACGTCGACCGGGCGTCATCTTCATCCGCACCAAGCTGGGAGTACTGAGCCCTTGACATACCAAAGAAAAATTATCATCACGACTTGGCACGACGTAGATTTTAACCCTGGTGCTAGACTTGTTGTGTTAGGAAGGTTCCCTCACTGACTCGGGAGGACCCCTTTTTGAACCAGGAGACCTTATTCTGGGTTAGGAGACACCGGATACATCTAGGAGGCGCAATTTCTGGAACAGATGGCCCTTTTCATGCATCAGATGGCTGCGGTTCCGGATCAGGGTGCCCTGTCTTGCGGCAACGGGTCCCTTGGCTAATTTGGAGGCCCTTCGTGAATCGGAAGCCTCCTATTCTGGATTAAGAGGCCCCTCTATGTGTCAGGATGTCCTGCGTTGCGTCACAGACAACCTTTGCTGGATAAGTAGAATGTCCCATTTTGCTTTTTTAATTGTCGACATTTTCTTACTTCGATATCATGCATGTAGCAGTTTGATAAGAAGTGCGTAACTTCAATACTTATCCCCCTAGAATGCAACACTACCGAGGAGGTCCCTCTGAGGGGGCCCCATGTTGTCCAGGAGACCCCTTAAAAATTCTGCCCCTCCCTTAACTCAAAAGCAGTGGTGTCGCCCTGTTTGTACAACTAACGTATGTTAAACCATACGTCATTGAGCTTATTTGAGTCTATATTGCCTGTGACGTGTGAGCTTGGTATAAATTCGAGGTGACGACTAGTTTAGCTCCCCATCGGGTCAGATGGTTGTGTCGTGTGGAGGTCAAAGTATGTGCTGTGCTGGATGGGGGTTAGATGGTTGTGACGCATAGAGGTCAAGGTCCGTGTTGTGCTGGATGGGGTCAGATCATTGTGACGTGCAGAGACCAAGGTCCGTATTGTGCCGGATGTGATAACCACGCCGAGGTTTTAGAATAGTATAGCATGATCTATACTGAAGATGAGTTTTCCACATATGAGAGTTGATCCCTAGTTCCCCAGTCTTTTAGGAATATTTGTTTTGAATGATTGTGTCATGGAACGTTTGAATGACGTCGAAATGCTGCCGAACTAACCGTACGAAATTACCTACCTAGTACTCACTCGTAGTACTTCAATTTTCAAAGGGATGGCCGTTGCGGTGCTGAATGTGTTTGCTGAATCAAATATCGTTGAGTCCAAGTATTTCGACCCTTTCTGGCGGCGTTCTTGTACATTGGTCCGTGAGTTTAAGACGTTTATTCATGCTTACATTGGGTTTCGGCACTATCCTTCAGTTTTTCGGGCAAAGGATTATTTCTGTAATCGTTAGCACCCATGTTCAACTTCTTGTATTATGAAGCTCACAATGTGATTCGTGACTGAAACTCGCGCAGCCTGCGCAGCATTAATTGAAAGCCAATTGACGTCCGCTACGTTTAGAAAACGTGTTCAACAACGCCAGATATAAACGACTCAACGATTTTTTTGTATTGGTCTTGAACATCGCATGGCCAAGTGGTGGTAGGATTTGAATGACGTTTTTCTGGCTGCATGCCTGGATGACCTTATAGACAGATAGACAAATAGATAGATGAGCATAACAAATAGATGAGACAAATGTATAGACTAGAGAAATAAATAGCTTAGACAAGCAGATATATGTGTAGTATAGACAAACAGTAATGACAAATAGTTTGCGCGAAATTGTCTACAAATCTTCGCGGACATGTCGCTCAGAAACTCAAGTGTTTAGGTCTTAAGGAGGATACGG